ATAATTTTTATATTATTTTATAAAAATGAAGTTGAGATAAATAATATACATAATTTTATATAAATTTATTAGTATGTTAAAATGTATGAGTTTAAATTTTATTATTAAGAAAACTAAGATATAATGCTCATTTTAATGCAAATTAAATAAAATTTATGGAAATATTGAATATAATATGTAGAATAATAAATAAAATCAAGCATGTCCTAAATCACTTAGGAGTAAATTTTAAATGTATTTTTAGCTAAAGAAAGCACATTAACTAAACATTCAGAAGCATTTAGTATATTAGATTCGAGGATATAAGATACTAAAGATAATTTTGAATTGTAAGTTCTTAGATATCAGAACCCTCAGAGTATATTTTAAAATCCCAGTGTATAGTTAATGCCAAGCTTTTCAAATTTCATATTTAGTAATTAATACAATCCAACTATTGCTGATTAATTGTTGCATTCTTAGTTGATACCTTAGAGTAATGCTTTTTAAGCTATGCCTTTAAAAAGTATTGCTGCTGAGGGTATGAGGATAGTATGTGAAATAGATATTTTAATGTTGAGACATTTTTATCATTTAAGAGAATAGGTAAGGGTTCTAAAAAATTTTAGATTTTTAACAAGCATAATTAAACCTCATCAAAAAGAATGGATAGTAATTCTAATCAAATTGATTGGATTAAGGGGAGATTCTAATATCGATTTAAAGAAAAGATCAGTAAAATGATGTGCAAGTTAGTAGATGAAGTAAAATCACTCATAAATAATAAAACAGAAGATGATTAATAAATTAATATTGATAAATTGAGATTCTAACCTGATGAACTAATATAACTAGATAAAGAATTAAAGGAAAAAAGGGAAGATTAATAAGAATACTTGGATCCTTATGAGATTTGTCTTAGAATAGCAAAGTTGATAGAAATGTATTTTAGAAGTTCTGATTAATGAATTTATGTGCTTTCACAGAACAACCTATATATCTATATATATATATTCATGATTAATTAAATAATTATTTTATTCTTATATTTCATGGAACAATTACTATATTAATACAAAGAATTGAAGAAATTTAATACTGAAGAATTAAAGAAAAATAAAGAGGAATGATTTAGATAAATACTAAAGATAAATAAAATATCATAATCTAAAATAGAAAATAGAATTACTTTTTTTAAAAGAGGTAAGAATTAATAAAAAAAAGGAGCGGAATCAATGATCGTTTTAAGAGATTAATAAAGATATTGATATGCATATAAATTTCATTCTATTAAATCGAAGAAAGTTGAAATGAGCTTTTACGAATTTTAATTAAAGTAAACTAAAGTACTAAAAGAAAAAGAGGATGGAAACTCAGAAATTAATAACAAATAGAAAGAGTAATAAAAAATATAAACTATTTTATGATCAAAAATGTCAAGAAAAGAATTAAAATTAAAAAATAGATCAAATTGTAAATATTTTTATGTTGGAGTAGAATATAGGTAAGTAAGATGCTAACAGAGAATAATTAATTAAATATTAGTATTAATATGAATATGAATATCAAAATGTTAAACAGAAGCATGAAGAGTAAGGGAAAGAAGAAACAAAATATTTTAAGAAATAAAAGCAGGAGAAAATTTGATAAAATAATTCAAAATCAATTAAAGGCTAAATATTAAATCAAATAAGAGTTAGAAGTGAAGAGAAAAATGTTAGAATTTATAAAGAAGAATACAATTAATATAAATATAGAAATGATGAAAGGCAGTCTCAGTTTCTTAAGGAAAGAATACAAGAAATTTAGAAATAGATAAAGAGATTGATTGATTAAATAATATATTGTTAAGAATATTAATAATATTTGATTATTTATTTTTTGAATTTAATGAATAACCAACTTAATGATATCAACTGCTAGTTTTGCAAGATAAATCAAAACAACTTTATCTAAAAAGAAATACATAAGAAGTATTTTGATAGATATGAAATAATAGATATTTTGAGTAGTTCAATTTTTATTTTGCTAAGCCCATAACAGAAATATTAGCAAATGTTCCTGTAGATCATGTGATATTATTTAAAGACTAATTATATTTGCATGATGAAAATGAATATATGAAGCGATATTATTAAAGAGAAGAACAAGACCCAAGATTAAAGTTACTTAGTGATTTCTATTAAGAGTAAAATAAAGTAATTGATTTATATTCATTAATCTTTTTTTAAGATCACATAACCTAATCTATGTAAAGTTAAAGCTCATAAGTTTATGGAGAAGAGAATTAATAAATTACTAAAATTACAATAAAAAGCATAAAATAATTAGAATCAACAACCAATTACTAAAAAGATGATTCCAGATCATATTTTTAGTGAAAACTATGTTGAATCTGTATCTGAGTAGTATCGACATACTTATTTAGTTCCTATCCCAAGGAACAAATTTCATGGGACAGCAAATCACATAATATCTATGAGATTTCATAAAGTGTAGCATAGTAGTCACAACCAAAAAATTAAATAACATTATAATGTCCTATACTAAACATTTCTGGTGATTAAAATAAATTATTTAATTGTGAGAATGATTAGGAAATAGATAATATTATATGTGATGTTAATACATAAACATCACGTTAATTGTCATCAATTACTAAAATACCTCTTAAAAAGAAGCCTTCATCAAGTGCTAACAAAAAGAAAAATCAATCAATTTAATAGCCTTAATAGCCATAATAGCCTAAAATTCCTATTCCACCTTTAAAACTTTAAGAAAGTGCTAAATCTTCCACAACAACGCTTCCTAACAATAAATCAACAAGCATTTAATCTTTAATGAAAAAATATGATTAAATATTGTAAAAACGTTTTTAAGTGAAGGAAATATTAACAGAACGTAATGAAACTCGTTGTGCTGCTGGTTTTGCTTCTAGTTGTGGTATTGGTACAAATAGAGGTGATAATGGTTCATCAAAGAAATAAATTACTGATGAAATGCTTCTTAAATTAATATCAAATATGAAAAAGTCAAAAAATAAATCTGACAATTATTAATTTCATGCTTCTTATAAAAGTGCTTTGCCTCATCCTTAAACAGGTCCAGCCTAATCATGTACATTTGAAAAAGAAAATGAAAAAAAGAAAAAATATCAAGTTTATTTGGTAAGTTATTCAATTTAATAAGTAGCCAAAACAAATCAAAAAAAAGCCATCTTAGATGTCATCTCCTACTACAATATAAAAGTATCTAAATTATAATATTATAGTACATGTTCTCCTTCAATGCTTCTAAGATCCCTTTCAAACCCTTCTATGGCTCCTTCTCCTATGAGAAGATTAGAAATTAAAGTTAATTTAAATAAACTTATATAATAATAAGAATAAGAAATAGGTTATTGGACTCAAAGATGCAAAGTTCGTTGAAACTCACTCATTCAATTAATTTTTAAGGATTATTATTTTTATAAATTAATTTTCTCTAAATTCATAATAATTAAATTAGATGTTTAATATATCTAAGTAATAAAATAAATATATTTTTTTTTTAATTTATATTTATATATATATATATATTTAATGAGTAAATAATTTAATATAAATATTTTTTGATATAATTCTTTATATACAATTAGATTTGCAAATCTAGCTAATATATAATTTATTCTTTTTTATTAGTTGATAAAAGGATAAATTTGTAAATTTTTATCTAATTTAAATTAACTAACTTAAACACTTTTTTTAAATTGATACGAGTAAAAAGTTTTTATTCTGAAACAAAATTCTAAAATTATATGCTTTTGGATTTTAAATAATTGATTTAAATGAAAAGCTGGATTTATCGCTTATTAATTTATCCAAACACTAATAAAATATATAAAACTAATTGTTAATTAAAATAATCCTAATTTTATTTTTTTTTCGATAAAACTTTAATTTTTAAATATATGGTTATATTATTGAGAATTACAGTTTCCATTCACGTTATTCTTGTATAATTAAAAGAGGAACAAAATTAATTAATTCCCCAGTACTTTTCTAACTTTTGCGTTAAGTAATTGAGCAATCCCATCTAAAATCATTTGAAATATTAGTTCATATTAATGAAATGTTGCCTTATTGATTGATGAGAATCAGCTTCTTTCAGTATTATCAGTTCAATTCTTTTAAATCAGATTAATGATATATTAATAAGGACACAAAAATAATAGAGATAATGAATTTATGTTCGCTTAATTTTTTTAGTGTAAATGATTAATAAACATTATTTGATTTGAAATAGAAGTAATTACAAATATCAAAAATATTTTAAATGAAATGTCTATATATCTATTATTTTTCCTTTGTGAATGATAAATTTCAACAAAAATATTAATAAAAGATTAAATAAATCAAATAATTTCTCTTATTATATTTAATCTCCTCTTATTCATACTAAGATAATTTTTAAATTATTTTTTAAAATTCAAAAAAAATAGATTAGTAAATAATTAAATTTTAATTAGTAATATTGTAATAATATTGAGAAAACTAAAATAAAAATAAAGATTTTAGATGAATTATAAATGAAAATAATTTTAAGCTCTTGCAAAATCTATTTTTTGACCTCAAAGTAAATCCAAAAAACTAGTGAAATTTAATTAAGATATTTTTATTAGAGGTAATAAAAACTTAAAATAAAACCTATTTATTTAGAACATTTGGCTTAATGAAGAGGATTGTAATAATCTAATTTAATTTAAATAAAAGTACTTTGAACATCAAAAATAGTGGACGACCAAACTTATGATTATTTAATCGAAACTTTTATCGAATAATGCATTCAATCTTAAAATGTTTACAATTTATATTTAGAATATGAATGATTTTAATTTTACAAAATTTCAATTATTATTTATTTAATATTTTTATTTTACGTTTCATCTAATCTAATAATTTTCGCATTAAGCTTAATAATTCAAATTAATCACTTATTTGAATTTTAAGCAAATTTAATTTTTTAGAAGCCTAGAAATTAAATTATTCTTTATAAGAACTAATTTGATGAAGAAATTATTAATTTAAAAACAATTTTTCTTATTTTTTTGTTACACATATATATTAAGAGAAGCTTCTAAATATTTGTTTAACATATTTTGAAATACTGAATCTTAAAAATTGTAATACTTCAAATTAATTTGCATCAATAATCTATTTTTCCAAAACTATTTTTTTAAATATATTAAATAATTACAAAATAGTTGATTACCTAAAATTTTAGTTATTCATTTATTGAAGCTAATTCAATAACAGTTTTTATTTAAATTAATTATAAATGTTTTTTCAAAGTAAAGCAGTTAATAATCATTTATTAGATAACTATAAATAATAAGTCAAATCCTGTTTGAATTTTTTGGATTAATTTATATTATGATTAAAGGATAAAAATATAAATTAATAAAGGACTTATAATTCTACAAAATTATTCTAAATTAAATATTTATTTATTATTCTCTAAAACTGAGAATTATATTTAATTTGATGAATCAACTTTTATAAAATGAATTCCATTAATGCTATAATTAATTAAATAAACTAAATTTAGTTATTTTAAACTAGTTTATTAAATTAAATTATAAAGTTATTGCTTTGAAAGTTTCAATTTTTCAATAATTCTTTAATGTAATTAATTAATTAAATAAGTATTTCCAAATGCAATAAATTTGAAAGATGATGGTCTAAAAAGAAACTTTTAAGGGAGTGTGTTAAGTAAAATTTATAGCAGCAAAGTACTTAGGTTTTAAAAATTCAAAATTAATTAGAATAAAGAAGCTAAAAAATTTTAGCAATGAAAAATGACTACACTCCTAAATCAATTAAAATAAGCATGGTTTACTATTTTGTTATAAGTTATAAATTTAGAGCTCTATATTGATTTATTTCTGATTTCTATAACCTAGGAATATTGTTTGATATTCTATATTATACCATTTTATAATTTAAATCATCCTTGGTTTAGGGTATATTTTTACTTTCATTATAAATTTAAATGAGTTTTAACTTTAAATTTGCAAAGAAATTAATCTTAAATTATATACTATATCAAAATCAATTATTCAGCAATAATTTTAATAAATTTCCTGATGGCACGCTTACTTTAGTATTGAGTCCTCCTCCTCCTCCCAATAATTATAAATAAAATGAGAAATCATTAAAATGACTGCTTTTTAACTCTTTTTGTTATTTAGGTTGATTATCGATTGAATTTGTAATAAATATTGCTTGTCCTTTATTTAATTTTGATTATTGAATATTGTTGATAGAAGTTTTTTAGCCATCATTTTTAAATTAATTCTATTCTAAATTTAATTCCTCAAATTTAGTATTTCTTTTTTTGAAACTAAATTATTCTTCTTCATTCTAAAATCTAGGTAATTATGTTTGTTCTTTGAAACCAATATTTTAAAATATTGTATTTTTATTTTTAATATCCTAAATGTATAAACTACCTCTTGGTTAATATTAGATTGAATTTTAAGAATGAAGTAATTCCTTATTCAATTAGTTATTCGAAATTCCTTAAAATAGTTGATTAAATATTTAATTAGATTATTAAATATTATTTACTGAATAAATAGGTTAGCAATTTTATGTAAAATTGTGAAAATAGTTTTAATTATTCTATTCGTTTTCAATTTTTTATTATTAAGTTTAATTAAGAGTCTCCTGTAATATTTTAGGTAATTCATATATGGGTTAAGAAATATTTTGAATTAAATTAGATGATTATTGAGATGGGATTAATGTATTATTTTAAGCAAAGAATGGTAATATTGATTCTTCTTGATTGGGATTGTAAAAATTTTAAAACATATTTGATTATACTTCAAGATTGTGAGATATTACTTAAAATTATCCTATTGTATAATTTCCTTATTAAAATATTGGCTGTTCATTATTTATGTTATTAATTTAAAAATTTGAATTTTAAACTCCTTACAATATTTAATCATCAAAAGAATTGTTTTAAAATCTCTAAATTTGATTATTATAATTAAAATCATCATCAACTTAATTGATTTATTATTATTCTTTTACATTTGTTAAAGTATTATTATTGGTTTCTTTTTCTGCTAAATCAGAACAATGTTCATGTTATTCATTAACTTGATCATAGATTTCAAGATTATTAATTTTTTAATCTTCATCATTTTGATTTTAATTTTAGCTTGTGAATGAAAAATCCTTATTTTATTTGTTTTTCCTTAAATCATCTTTGTTTTAAGCAAAAACACTTGAGTTAAAATTTTAGGCATTATCTATGTAATCCTATTCTTAAAATCTTTCATATTCCACTTATTCTAATACTGTTTAGATTCTTTAATATGAATCACAATCGTATTATTCTTTATTATCTTAGATTTCAACAATTTAAGGATTCTTGATAACAACCTCTTTAAAATCAGTTATTTTTCTCTTTTTATAAGGGGATAAAGTCATTATCAAAGAGTTAGATTGGTCTTCTATTAATTTTACCAAACAACTTTATCTTTCTCTTGCTTTAAATTTTTTAATAAGTTAATAGACATTCCATCCAAACAATCCTAAAAATGTTGCTGCCAAAGGAATCTCCATAGTTTATTTATAATAATAATATTTGCTTTTAATTTTATCATTATCAATCCTATTTTTGATCATCCAAAAATTAAAATGAGATAAAAGTACAGTTTTGATTTTTTTTAAATGATGAATTATGCATAATCAATCTAAATATTTAAGTTATTCTATGATAAAAACAGAAAAAGTATAGTTTTCTCAACAAAAAATTACACATTAAGTTTGTAAACCTCTAAATAATAGATAATCATTTATAATAATGGTAAATAATATTTGATTCAAAATACTAATTAATTTTCAAGTTAATCAAAATGATGATCTAATTTATCAGTTTATTTTGATAAATAATAGAGAACTGTAGATTATATGCTCTTTAATTATTCCATTTATTGTGTTTTCATTTTTAGAGATACTTTCCCATTCATACTCAAGTTTTTTAATTATTAATTATCTAATTCTTTTTTTTTCATAAAAATCCTATTTGGTCGAGGAGTATTTGGATCTTTAAATGTAAATTTATCCAAACTTAATTTAGAATCATTTTCTTCTCTAGGTATTATTTTAAGTTTTATTTTTGGTATTTTATTAGGGATTTCCTTATCAAATGTTGGTGTTTTATTGTAATTATGTAATTAAAAATTAAAGTTATTTTTATTATTCAATTACTACAGCACCTATTTTAATTCTAATTTTTTCTGTTTCACTTAGGGTTATAAAAATTTATGATCTTGTATTTGAAAATTATTCATTGCTTTTAAAGATACAGGTTTTAATAAATCTAATGATTTAATCTTAGGTAAACTATAGTTATTACTCAAATTATCAAAGTTTAAATGTGCTTATAACATATTTTTAATATCAAAATTTTATACATTATAAATTGCTAAAATTTATAATTTGTAATTACATTAAAGAGCTAATTAAAGAATTTGAAACTCTAAAATACAGATATTTTTTAAATAAATCTGGATAAAATCACAAAAAGGTTTGTAAGAAAGTATAAGAATAATGTGACTAGTGTAAATTATATTGATAGATTGAAGGAATGATTGAAAGAATATATAAAATGATTGAATATAAAATAATCTAATTAATTTGAGAGAACTTAATTAATTAAAAGAAGATAGAATTTAGAGATATCATGTATTAGTAAGTTGTAGTAAAATGAGAATGTAAGAAATAGTATAAATTCTTAGAAAAGAGAATAAATGAATTTTATAGAATGAAAGTGAATGTGAATAATTTGGTGAAAGAAAGGTATAATGTGAAGGGAATTATTGATTCCATATAATTTATATTTGATAGGAAGAATAAAAATTATATAAATTTTGCAATTCTTGAGTTTATAGTAATTGAGGTTGGTGATAAGAATATAAAATAAATAGAATGGTTGATAGAGTTAAATAGAGATGATGATAAAAGTTAGAAATGTAGAAGGTTGTGTAATATACATATAATATGTTATAATTAATAAATATTGTGGGGGTATGTGATAAGATTTAATTGATTTAATTTGCTCTAGAAAAAGGTAAGAGAAATGTAATGTAAATCAATAATATCTTTTATATATCTGTAAACACATGTCTGAAGAACACCCAGCAGTTGTTATTGATAATGGATCAGGATAATGCAAAGCCGGTATAGCAGGAGATGATGCTCCAAGATGCTGTTTCCCTGCAGTTGTAGGAAGACCTAAACATCAAGGAATTATGGTTGGTATGGACAGCAAGGAAGCCTATGTTGGAGATGAAGCTTAAGCTAAGAGAGGTGTTTTAGCACTTAAGTATCCAATTGATAATGGTATTGTCAATAATTGGGATGGTATAGAATATGTATATAAATTATATAGACATGGAAAGAATCTGGCATCATGCATTCTTTAATGAATTGAGAGTCACACCAGAAGATCACCCAGCTCTTTTGACTGAAGCTCCAATGAATCCAAAGGCTAACAGAGAAAAGATGACATAAATCTTATTCGAAACATTCAATGTTCCATCATTCTATGTTGCTATTCAAGCTGTGCTTTCACTTTATGCTTCAGGAAGAACAACAGGTATTGTCGTAGATTCTGGAGATGGTGTATCACACACAGTCCCAATCTATGAAGGTTATGCACTTCCACATGCTGTTCTCAGAATTGATTTAGCAGGAAGAGCTTGTACTTAATATTTAGTATCCATTTTGAATGAATTGGGTGTTTCATTCACATCATCAGCTGAAATGGAAATTGTTAGAGATATGAAAGAGAAATTATGCTATGTTGCTCTTGACTATGAAGAAGAAATGAAAAAATATAAGGAGAGTGCTGCCAACAATAGACCATATGAATTACCAGATGGAAATGTTGTCGTCATCTAAAATTAAAGATTCAGATGTCCTGAATTACTTTTCAAACCAAATTTCATTGGTCTTGAAGTATCAGGTATCCATGAATTAACATTCAAATCTATCATGAAGTGCGATATTGATGTTAGAAAAGATCTGTAAATCATTTTTATTTATATCTTAGTTATGGAAATGTTGTCATGTCTGGAGGTACTACTATGTTCCCAGGAATCCCAGAAAGATTGAGCAAGGAATTAACATCACTTGCACCATCATCCATGAAAATTAAAGTTGTTGCACCACCTGAAAGAAAATTCTCAGTTTGGATTGGAGGATCTATCTTATCATCATTATCTACATTCTAAGCTATGTGGATTACAAGAAGCGAATATGACGAAAGTGGTCCAACCATTGTTCACAGAAAGTGTTTCTGAGACATAAAAATATTAATAATCAATATAAATAGCATTTTATATAATATACTCATTTTGGGGTATTCATTTTTATTTTATGGTCAATTATAGCAAATTCTTCCTTACTACATTCTACTTAGGGTGAATTAAATTAAGAGAAAGCAAATCTTTATCTCCAAGCCAACTATGCTATTAATTCTACCTTATGTGATTCATATTCAGTTAAAAATAATATAAAAGGAGTCGCAAATGCAACATACCATAAATTCCTTCTTCTTACAAATCCTTTACTAAATACAAAACTTAATATTTGCTTTCTCATCAATCTAACTTATATTCTTTTTTATAAAACTTTTATATATTAAACTAATCAATTATTAACATTAAAATTTTACTATTCAAAAATACATAAATTTATTATTATCATCTTTATATTTCTATTCCCAGTAACTACTTACATCATTATTATTTTCTCTTTGAGTTCTCAAATTTATCAAATTTTATCTATAGTTAATAATTTCCTACTATACTAAATAAATCTCATATCTAAATCAAATCAAAATCTAATAATTCACGATATATTTTCATAGAATATTTTAACTCACAAATTTTAAATCTAACTCAAAAATAAACAATATTGATAAACTTCAATAGTTCTTATCTAATTATCCTACATCAATAAGTTAAATCATCAAGAATATCAACTCAATTTAATTAAATTATCACTCTGAAAATTCATCAGATTCTAACCTGTTTGTATCAGAAATTTCATTTAAAGTCAACACTACTGGATATTGGAGACTTTAATCTCAATTAATTTTATAAAAACAGATTCTATTATTATATTAAACATCCTTGACCAGCTTATTTAAACAATATTGACCTGATTACTATTCGTTTATGATTAATATTTATTAAAAAAAAAATATGGTTATTTTAATATCCATTATTATAATAGCCACATTAATAATCGTATGTTATGTCATGAATTATACGTATATTATTGATTATATTAAATAAATTTATTTTCAAAAATTTTATTGATGTAGAATATTTGGGTAATTTAGGGATAAAATTTTATATTACTATTTTATATCATGTTACTCTTTTTATTTTAGATTCCTATCCATTATTCCTGCTAATTATTTCATATAATAAATTAAAAAGCATCAATATAGATTCAAAACTTTTAATTTCTTATTAAAAGTACAATTATAATTAGAATACATAATGATACTTTAAAATCTTAACTAGATAAAATTAATATAAATTCATGAGCTTTTTATTATTTAAATTAATTGATATTCTACTGATATTAATTTGTAGGTTCGAAAATAAAATATAGTTAAACCTAATACCAGTCAATTATGCTTAGTTTTTGCTCAAAATTCTGATAATTATTTAATTATTAAAAATAAATGGCTTTGATAAATTCTTAAATGCAAAAAATTTCATGAATATTAAATTTGTTATCAAAAATGTGAAAAATATTATAATATATATATTTGTGAATAGGAGAATCTCATCTTAATAGTTAAAGGATTAAATTAAAAATATCTACAAATATAATCAAATAAAATTCATAAGATTGAATGCAAATTATTTAAGATTTTACCAAATTTGATACAAATTTCTTAAAGCCATTCTTAATTTTTTTCCATAATGTTTATAAAATTTTATCTATCATGAAGTCCAAATATTAGAGATTCTTCTTGATCTATATTTTCATCTGTAATTATAGAAATATCTTAGGATTTGCTTATTTTTATTCTTCTCTAAAATAGTTTTGTTGAAGGTTCATCTAATTGTTTTAATTCAGAAAAGTAATCTTAAAATTAAATTTATAAAATCCCCAATATGGCTAGTATGAGAAATTTACAGTGCATTTTATGGTTCATATTTTGATAAACTATATTATTTGAGACTTCAATTAAATGAAATGCTAAGAGCCTGAAAATGAAATATTCACCTATTATCATTTTTTCTTAATAGTTTCCAATTTTTAGGGTATTTTTAGTTTAATATTTGGTTCTTTTAGCTACAAATAAAGGGGCTTTGACATTCTAACTCTTAAACAAAGATAAAAATAAAGAGTTTTATACTAATTCTGGCATTTTATCCTTCTCTGTGATTTTTTCCATATTTGTCAAAAAATTATTTGTTAATAGAATTAATTACTTTTGTCTAGCCTAAATGGAGATTGCACTATTGGGATTTTTAGAATTTTCATTTGCTTATTGTATTAATTAATGAGAAGAAAAAGATTTTATTAATGGGTCTGTAATATTAGATATCCATTATCTAATAATATCTTTGCAAATCAGTACATCTTAATTAGCTATGTTGTCAAGACATTTTGTATACTTTTATCGAATCAATTTTAATTGTTACATTTTTTTATTTCTTTTTTACCTATCTAATAAGATATAAATAATACCTATAAACAAGGCACCATCTAACATAAGCCAAAATAAATATGAGATAAACCCTTAAACGGGAATTATTTTTAAGATATCTTTTTTTTCTATTTGAAATTTAATTTTCTCTTGAGGTAGTTCTCATATGCACACTAGGTAATTGTAAATTTGAATGATCTTCTTAATAATTTTAAAGTTCTCTTGAATTTCTTGATTGAATTCTACTGGGCCTAATATTTCTATTAGTATGCTTATAAGAATTAGTTTCAGATTAATTATCATTTCTTTAAGAATATTAATAATCATATGATTAAGTTCTTTTTGTATCAATTCCATTTTGATAGAAAATAACTGAAGAAGGTAAATATTCTGAACATTCTTATTCGAAAAAAGGAGTAATTTTATGTTTGTTAACTTGTGGCAGATATTGATTTTTGCAGATTTTTAAAAGTTTAGATATTTCTTTTTATCTTTATCCTAATTCTCTACTCAAAAATTAATTCTGCTATTTTAGACTTTAATTTTCCAATTCACATAATTTTTATTTTAATAGTTAATTTTCGGAATGTCTTGATATTTATTATATGCTTACTCATTAGTTTATGAGAGGTAACTATCTGTTAATGTTTCTTTTCCTAATAATGATGAATCTAAAAGTATTGGCTTGTTTCTTAATTTAATAACATAAGGTTAGTGATAGAGATCATTTTGTCTTGGACTTAACACTGAATTTTTATCGGTAACATGTAAATTAAATTGTCCTGGTTATAATAGTTAGAGCATTACTTTGATGATGTATTAAAAAAAAATAATTAATAAAGAAACGATTAATTAGTAAATATATAAATTGTTTTATTTGATCTTTTTAATTGTCTGAATTTACAGAAATATTTTATGAAAAATTTTGCTAACATTTGAAATCCATTCAAGTTGCTTTTGGAATTGAGCTAAAATTAAGGACCTTTAAAATATTAAGATAAAAATTATGACAATTAAATCCTATTTGAGATTAATTTTGGGAAAAAATTTATTTAAGTTATTTTTCCAAGTCGAATACTAAATCTATTTATTCTTTTTTTTTATTCTTTTTTTTTTTATTTTTATAATAAATTACTCTATAAGTTTAAAAAATTATTTTGCTTATTTTTAACTTTTAAGATTAAAATTCTTGTTCCATTTTACATAAACAAACTCAGCTTAAAAGACTGTTTTTATATTTTGATAATGTATGTTTTAATTTTGACTAGCTTAATAATTTTAAATAGCAGCTTTTTTTATTTTTGAATAGCTAAATAATTTTAAAATAACAGCTTTTGTTTTACTTTTACATTAAAAATCAATTTTATTACCTTATAAGTGAAAATAATATCAGGACATCAACATACTCCATTTTCCCTAATAAACTCGAATTAAGATTTTCCTTTATTTATTAAATAATTAATGATTTTTTTAATATATATTGATTTATTACTTTAAATATATAAGGCATGTATTTTTAAGAGTTTTGAGGGTTTCAAAGTTAATTTTTTTTTGATATTCTCTTGAATTATTTTCTACTACTATCTAGATTTTATCATTTATTATGAAAGAATTTCATTTTGCAGTTAGAGTTATTTATTTTCAATTTCCACTATTATATATTTAAGCATTTAATTTCATGTTTTGATCATATTTTATAGTTTTTATAAATCCAAATTAAATTGATCAAGAAGGCTATTTCTTAAATCCTTATCAATTAATTCTCTATTTTACTTTAGAGTGATAGAATATTACTGCTAAATGATACTTCATTTCTTATATGAGTGTTTCCATTTGCCCTAAAACAAATAGGATTTATTTGGATTAATATTTTCATCTAAAATAAGTTATTATAAAATAAGCATATATAATATCAAAATCAAATGTTATTCAAAGAGGATAGATTATTAACACAATTTTTAAAATAGGTTGAGATATCTTAGTACCACTTCTAATTTTCATTGATTAACTTCTCATAAAATTCTTGATTATTCAAACCAGCAATAATATACTCATTTTCTTCAATATCTTCATCCTCAATAATTTTTAGCTGTTGATTTTTATTTTTACCAATACTTAATCTTTTCTATATAATTTTAGATATTTTAGGTTAATATAATTACATTTCCTTAAAGTAATTCATAAAGAGAATTTATATAAAACTACAAATTGATACTAGTTAAAATTTACATTCTGCTAAATGAAGCTCATTTATACAAAGTAACTAATTGGAATTCAATATAATTTCTTCAATTATAAATGAAAAGAATATGTAATCACAAATTAAAAGAGTCTACTCTTTTTTATTTAATTTTGTCTTTATTCTTTTAGCTATAAATAAGCTTCCCTTCTAATTTATTTAAAAAATATGATATTGTGCTTAAACAAAAATTTCTTGGTTCAAATTTTCAACTTTCGTCATTTCAACCAATTTCTCAAAAAACAATTAGGATAATTTTAAGATCCATTATTTACGATTTTGGATAAATTGCTTATGATTTGGACTTTAATTTTATCGAAAATTTGAATAAAATCTGCTTAATTTAATTGTTTCGAATACTGATTACATTAATTTTTCATGCCAATTTAATTTTAATTCTTCAATTTATTATAAATTGAAAGATTCGAATCTAATTTTTAAATTTTTTAAATTTTAAATTTATTAGATCTTTTTTGATCTCATTAGTTTAATTAATCGAAATATAAAAATCATTATAAAACCCCATTATTTAAATATATTTTAAGACTTCAAAAGTTTTTCAAACTCTTCTTTAGCCATTTTATAAGGCTGATCAAATCGATTTTAGAAAAAATTTATATAGTTAGGTATTTATTTACGATATTTCCTTTCTTGTTAATAGTTAGAATGCTAGGAATCAATTGATATTTTAAAATCTAAAACTTAATTGCATTAAATCATATTATTTTATTATTCAATTGGAATTTCTTGCTCTATAATGCAAAAAGGTAAGTATTTTTGATTTTTACTACTGTTTATGGTTGTTGATCTTTATCGATTACTGGCTTCATCCCTATTTGTATGATTATTTTATTAATAATCAATAGAAGAGTATTAGTTATTATGATATAATGGTTTATTAAAGTTATTCTTTGGTCTAATCTCTTAGACACCCAAAAATATTGAATTTTTTTATCCAGCAAATAAATCTCTTTCTTTTTTGTTAATTCGTTATTATAATAGTAATTTATTTTAAATTTCTTCTTCAATTAGTTATGATTATTACTATAAGGATTTTCGTCTCTCTTGCTCTTTTTAAAAATTTAATTTTATGATTTCATTTTCTAAGTATTTAGAAAGTTTTGGTGATTGATTCTTTTAGAAATTTTACATATTTTAATCTTTGTTAGGCTCTTAGATTGATTTACTATTTGGAGGAAATAGAAAAGAATGAAACATTTTACAGTTTAATTATATTTAATTTCTTGTGGAACAAAATGTTCTAATTTAAGAAATTTTATAAAAAATATATTCAATATGATGTCATTCTAAAATATCACAAATTTCAATTTAAGAATAAATATTTTGGATGGTTTTATCAAATAGCTTCCCCAACTTTTTTGAACAAATATCATTATTTTTTAATAAACTTTTAACATACTCTTCAGATTTTAATCCTATAACTATGTTCTCTGATTAATTAATATCCTTTGTATCAATCAGAATTAAATTTTAATTTTTATCTGAAGAAATATAAAGTTTTCTTTAATAAATCAATTAGTCTCTAACATCTTCTCTTTAAGGCATATTTATAAAGTATTTTATAAAATAGCTATGAATAATGCTGGCTAATTCTATAACTTTAATTTTATAATCAAGATTGTGTTTTAGAGATTAATATTTTAATTAATTTGCTTAATCAAACAATTATTTGATAATTATGTTGAAAAATATAAATTCACTAGCAATAAGTTGATATTCTGATTTAGAAAGAGGTGAATTTTAAAACTTTATCCTTTTTGCAAGAAATAATGGTTTATATGTTTACTTAGTTATTAGTGTAGCTTTTGATACTTCTTAAACAATTTCTTTTGGAATATTTCCTTCTCTTGTTATTAATTCTATATTTTAAAAAAGAAACTTGGCATAATTCAAACACCAAAGTTAATTTTAATCTAATATTTTATTATCATCAATTAATTCATCATTTTTTTTATTTTCATAATTTTTTTACATATAAAAAACTATTTTTTTAAATGCCGCAGTCGACCACTATTAAATTTTTTCAAAATATTAATCATTGAATTTTCTTTCAATTTTAAATGCCTTTTTTAAATTATTAAAGTTATGAATTTTTGCTCTTTATGTTTAAAAGTCAAAGCATATTCTAAGTGCAAATCTAAAATATAATAAAAGGAATCTTCCTATAACTTTTGTTATACTTCTAAATTTATTTACAAATAAAATTTTTTCTTTCTTACATGTTTTTTATTTAATTCTATCATTTTATGTTTAATAATAAATTTTGAAAGGAACGGATTTTATTCTCTAGTTTTATTTAGAAGATGAGAATAGTAAATTTTCAGTGTTTTATTCAAAATTTTCTTGTGGTAGTTTATTTCTGAAAATTGTTGAAGGCTTAATTATTGATCTCTATATATTTTATTTACGATAAGAATAAAATTAGTCTAAATTATAGATTAAAATCATACCCATTATTCCCATTTATTTTTATTCATCTGAGTTATTTTTAAGAGTTTAATATACATTTGTTGGAACTTTTTAATTCATTAAAGATTTTGCAGTAGTGAGAGAATCAAGATAAACATCTAAGTTGATTGGAATTTATCGAGTTTATTAAACTTATTTTCGAATGATTGGAGATATTTTGTGCCTTTTAGAGTATTTTTCTGAAGGTTCGATTGTTTAATAGCGAAAGGAGTCTTTATATTAATCAAGAATGTAATCTTGATTGACGGACTTAGATAATTCGTTTTGATATTATCTAGACATAAAAATTTTAAAAGTAATATTTTTAATAATAAGTATTTGAAATATAATCATAATTCTTAAATTTTATGCTGATAAATGTTTTGAACTACTTTTTTAAATTTTTTTACTAAATTTGCAAACCAACATCTCCTTTCAAATATCAATCTTAACTAATCAATTTTAAAAGTTCCTTTATAAAACTCTTCCATATCAGTTTTAATTGGAACTAAAATCATGCCATATTTATTTCTACCAATTTACATCTACNAGCTTTTGATACTTCTTAAACAATTTCTTTTGGAATATTTCCTTCTCTTGTTATTAATTCTATATTTTAAAAAAGAAACTTGGCATAATTCAAACACCAAAGTTAATTTTAATCTAATATTTTATTATCATCAATTAATTCATCATTTTTTTTATTTTCATAATTTTTTTACATATAAAAAACTATTTTTTTAAATGCCGCAGTCGACCACTATTAAATTTTTTCAAAATATTAATCATTGAATTTTCTTTCAATTTTAAATGCCTTTTTTAAATTATTAAAGTTATGAATTTTTGCTCTTTATGTTTAAAAGTCAAAGCATATTCTAAGTGCAAATCTAAAATATAATAAAAGGAATCTTCCTATAACTTTTGTTATACTTCTAAATTTATTTACAAATAAAATTTTTTCTTTCTTACATGTTTTTTATTTAATTCTATCATTTTATGTTTAATAATAAATTTTGAAAGGAACGGATTTTATTCTCTAGTTTTATTTAGAAGATGAGAATAGTAAATTTTCAGTGTTTTATTCAAAATTTTCTTGTGGTAGTTTATTTCTGAAAATTGTTGAAGGCTTAATTATTGATCTCTATATATTTTATTTACGATAAGAATAAAATTAGTCTAAATTATAGATTAAAATCATACCCATTATTCCCATTTATTTTTATTCATCTGAGTTATTTTTAAGAGTTTAATATACATTTGTTGGAACTTTTTAATTCATTAAAGATTTTGCAGTAGTGAGAGAATCAAGATAAACATCTAAGTTGATTGGAATTTATCGAGTTTATTAAACTTATTTTCGAATGATTGGAGATATTTTGTGCCTTTTAGAGTATTTTTCTGAAGGTTCGATTGTTTAATAGCGAAAGGAGTCTTTATATTAATCAAGAATGTAATCTTGATTGACGGACTTAGATAATTCGTTTTGATATTATCTAGACATAAAAATTTTAAAAGTAATATTTTTAATAATAAGTATTTGAAATATAATCATAATTCTTAAATTTTATGCTGATAAATGTTTTGAACTACTTTTTTAAATTTTTTTACTAAATTTGCAAACCAACATCTCCTTTCAAATATCAATCTTAACTAATCAATTTTAAAAGTTCCTTTATAAAACTCTTCCATATCAGTTTTAATTGGAACTAAAATCATGCCATATTTATTTCTACCAATTTACATCTACTAATATTAAAATTAAGAATTTAATCTTTAAATTTCAGGAATTTCTTTAAAAGTTATAATAAATAATTGTTAAAGTATAGTTATAAATCCACGAATTAAAAATTAAATATTTTGATCATCTGAATTGAAAAATTTCTTATTTTCAGTTAGTAAGACCAAATTTGGTATAAAATTATTCATAATCACACACTCTGTTGCAATCATGGCCTTTTCTTTTGGAGTTATATTAGAGTATTTATTTGATAGATAGTTAGTTCTTTTAGAAACAAATAAGTTATAGGTTTATCTATATTCAACAAATTATTCTAAATATAATTAATATCCAAGTTCTGGTAAGAAAGTGTTGGGTTGTGTTGTTATTTCAAGATTAGAGATTAGATGAGAACATAAATTTAAGAAATTTGTTACTGCTAAATCTTTTTGAAAATCTTCAATATTATCTTCCTAATTTAATATTAAATAAATTATACAATAAAATTCCATTATTTTAAAGTTTAATATCTTAAAACAGAAAATACTTTAGTTAAGGAAATTTGAGTCCATTATTTTATTTTATTTTGAATTAATTTATCCTTAAATTTAAATAGTTTAAATAACTAATTATATAATCTTTATTTTTGAAGCCATTATTATTTTAATGGTCTAAAATATTATAATTAAATTTATATACCTAATTAATATGATCATCTTAATTACTGCCCTAACTAATAAAAACCCTACTTTAATTTTTTTAACTTTGAAGTTAATTTATTCTTAGCTTTTAATTTTCTAAATGGTTTCGTTTATTAATAAGTTAGAATTTTTGGTAAGTTTATCTTCATCTTATTAAACTTCTTTAGATTGTGAAATATTGTTTTTGAGTATATTTGATATATTTTAATCAGCTTCATATGAGTCATCTTTTTCATTTGTAACATCTAAATAACTTTTTAGATTTTAATTGATTTAAAAAGAAAAATTTCGCTTTCTTGGTGATTGATTGAGGAAAAATTAATTCTATTAATAGGTACTTTAACGTAAGATTTATTATTTTTCAAGATATTATTCAGTTGATTAATCTTGAAGAAAGTTATGATAAAATCCAAGATTTTCATCACTTATTTATTAAAACTAATTAGATTTAACTGTATTAATTTAGATATCTTATATTGAGGGTATTTTATTGTCTAATTAAGGTAATATTAATTTTGTCATATAAGACTCATCTGATATTTTTGATTAATGTTTAGGTGAATAACTTTCAGTATTAATTTTTCTAGATAATTAAACTGAAAGATTTAAAGCATTAGAATGATTAGGAAGAATAAATGATGGTAAGGTAATATCAGGTTCATTTGGATTAATTAATTTTTAAAAATATGGATCTCCCTTAGCTAAGTCTCTCTCTACAGTACTTTAAAAATCAAATCTCGATCCTATAAGTTTAAGGTGATTTTACTTTTTATCATTTTGCTCTAGAGATTTTAATAAATAAAAATATTATATGTAAAGTTAGTATATGATCTGTTACTAATTTCTATGTTGAGAATTAAAAAAAATAAATAATTACATTGCTTAAAATAATGAATGATTTTAGTCTAAATATACAATACACAATTATATTATTTTGATAATAACTCAAATTACAAATATGCAAAAATTGAACAATGAATCATATCCGATAGAATATGTGATAGAAGCTTAAAGTTCAAAAGCACCTAGTTCCTAGGAATTTGAATTTGAAACTCAATCATTTACTAGCAAGGAAGATTTATTAAATAATTAGAACTTTAAACCATTTTTATAAGAAAGAGATTCTACAGGAAAATTAGTAGGAAAAGATAAAAAATTACACTTTCTTAAAGGTTAATAAATAGTGCTTTAAACATCAGGCTCTAAGAGACTATAAGTAAAATTAATTTTATTGTAATTAGTTTTCAACAACATCAATTTTGGGTCTTAACCCTAGAACTGTAACAGCAGATGATAGAAGATTTGCAAAACGAGAACCATTAAAGAATTTTAAATTAAATTTACAAGCAGATTAAGGGTTTATCAAACAGTTTAGAGAAATAACAAAGCATATAAAACCATAATCATAAATGAATAGTGGATTTTTAGGACCTCATAGAGACTATTATTATAAAACAGTATTTAGAAAATTCAATAAAATAAGACAAAAACTCCAGGTCCAGGAGTATATTAATCTCTTTATATAACAGCTTCAAATCCAATAGAATTTCCAAAGAGTCCTTAAATAAGTAGACTTACATAACCAAATTGCAGTAAAGACTTTTATGATTTTAATATGGTTCAGAAAAACATTTCTGGACCATCATTTGTAAAGACTTAGAGCAGAGATAGTGCATATTAAAGAGGAATATTTGCATAAATTGAAATAGAAAAAAGATAAACTTTGAAATAAAAACCTGAAGAATATGATGAATAAAGAATTGATAGAGAAATAGATTATTTATTGCAATAACAATAAAAATATGGGAAGTTGCGTAATAATTATAATAATTAAATGATTAGCATAACCTAATTTAGCTTGGCCAATTCCTTTATAAAAAATAGAAATGCCAGATAAAGTACATGGATAATGGACTAAAATGCTGTATATATTAGTAAATATATAATATTAGTGAACGCTATGGATTTAAGAAATAAACTGGGGGTAGATTAATTAAGAATACAACTTCTATGTGATTATAATATGTCGAAACAGTATTTATTAATATTTAAATATGACTGATAGAAAAGCTTGGAATTAAAAAGTATTATGATATCAATAAATTAAATGAATAGGAAGATATAGCCATTCTTCACTTAGTAAAGTAATATGGGATAAAGAAATGGACAACAGTAGCTGAAAAAATGAAAGAAATTTATGGTTTATTTGGTCGATCTGGTAAATAATGTAGAGAGCGATATCATAATCATTTGGATCCAACAATTAATAAAGATCCTTGGAGTGAAAATGAAGAAAAGATAATATTTTTAGCACATAGAGAACATGGAAATAAATGGGTATTATTAACAGATTTAAAGATTTTAAGGCAGAGATTGCAAAATTACTTCCAGGTAGAACAGATAATGCAATTAAAAATCATTTTTATTCAACCTTAAGAAGAAGTTTAAGACGCATAAATAAAATGATTGGTGATAAAAACAGTAATCTACGTAAATAAATATTTAGCAAAGAAAAGTGTACCCAATAGATCAAGGACATAAAGCCTGGTGTTTTGTCCAAGATCTTCATACTTGCTGAAAAAAACCCATCTGAACTTAAAGATGATCATATGAAAAGATTATGTTTAGCATGCAAAGGATTATAAGATTCTATACTTGAATTTGCATAATCTAAATAAAAATCATAAATTATTCAATTCAATGAAGAAAAATTTAAATAATTGATAGAGAAAATTATGGATTTTAAGTATTCTCTAAAATATATATTTAGCGGACTTTATACTAGATAAAGAGAAAATAAATTAAAATCAAGAAAATTAAATCTTAAAAAAAGAAAAAATATTGTTGAAGATGATGATGAAGAAGATGATTCATATTCTAGTTTTTATAAAATTGATGATAATAGTATATAAATACCAATCAAAAGATCAATTAGATAAAGTTCAAGAAAAAAAATTGTAATCATTTCTTAAATAATCAAATTAGAAATTTAATGATGAAGATGATCTTGATATTATTATTAGAACTAAATAGAATCCAGTCTTTAAAATAATTTATGATAGATTTTAATTTTAGATAGATGAATATGTATTTCAAATTACTTATTTAAAGGAATCTTCCTAAGATGATATTTAAGAATCTTCTCTAGATTAAGATTCATAATAGAATATAAATTTAAATTAAAAAAATACTTTAATTTCAAATATGTAAGTTTTTGATTAATCAATACTCAAAGAACATAAAAATGAAAATTAAAATTAATAAAATATTCATAATAGTAAGACTAATTTCACTCCTATTATCTTAATAAAACCAACACTTAACATTGATAATTCAAACTTTGATTAATATTTAGAAAAACTAAAATAAGATATAGGTTTCAATTATCATATATAATTAGATGCAAATTCTTAAAAATACCTTTAAGGTGAGGACCTTAATTTAGATATTAATATTGATTTTGCAGATATAACAAAAGATTTTACAAAATCATCGAGCTCTAAATTTGGGTACACTTCAAGTGCATTTAAAAAATATAAGAAAGATCTAGATTTAGATAATTTCTTAGTAACAAACAATAATAATAAATGATAAATTTAATCATGAAATTTCAAAATTATTTCCATGTATTCTAAAAAAAATCTACAAATATTAACATTTATACATTAGAGTTCATTTTATTATGATTAGTTTCTAACTGTCAAAGGATATTGGATTAATGGAGAGTTCAGAAAATTATTAGCGATCTAATCTAAATTTATATTCTTTGATGATTAGTAATTATTTTAACTAATCTTTTAAGATTGTGTTTATTTAATTTATTATTCAATTTAAATATTAAGTTGATTGCTTTTATTTTTCAAATTTAAAGATTAAAAATTGAAATTATCTTATTCCTAAATGGAAAGAGCCTTTTTATTCTTATTATGAGGCTGTTCCTTTTTCTTTTATATTGGTGAATATTATGATTGGATCAATGGACTTTATGAAATTCTTAATTATTTATCCTCAGAGAAAATGTAATTTCCCACTCTTGGAGTTATTGACTATTAAATATTAATCACTTTTTCTTTTAAAGAAGCCATTTCTTTCTTTAGCTTTTGTTATTTACAAGAACCTTAATATAAAATTTGAAATACTTGCAATCAGTTTTATAGTTTCAATTGATATATCCTAAGTTTTACTTTTCATAGCTGATATTCCAATTATTACCAAGTATTTTACTAGTTTTTGCGTAAGCTTAAGATCGTAGTCTTTGATAAATTAGGTTAATTCTTTAATATTCATTGTTAATTTATTATATTCTAACAATTAATGAAACTAAAACTTTAGAAATATTTCGATCTAAAAGTTTGTATTATATAATTGCCATTAGGTTTATGTAAAGAAAATAATCCCAACTATGAATTTTTTCTAACCGAGGAAACATTAGTAATCTTAATCAGAAATTTTAAAATAAAAAATAAATGTTCTTATTTTTATTTTTTTTTCATAAATCATTTAAGAATTGCTAATTTCTATTAAATTTTACATAAATTTAACAATGGTCAGTAATTAGTTTATTAGATGAATTAATTATGCATATCTTTTTTAATATTTAATAATGGGTGATTATAAAAACTATGATGATATAATTAAATTTATTTGCCTTATGAAATTGTTTGATTTTTTAAAAAGAAAAGCAACTAATCTTCATCATATCACATATTCAAATAATGATGAATATCATGGTATAAATAATATGATAAAATTAGGGGAAATGCATGAGAACTAAAAACACGGAAAAGGAGTCTATAAATTTGCAAATGGAAATCGTTACGAAGGTGATTGGTATCATAATCAAAAACATGGAACAGGAAAGTATTATTACAGCAGTGGTGAATTATATATTGGATAATGGAAAGAAAATAAAAAAAATGGTCATGGTTAACATTTTGGTCTATATGGAGATAGATATGTTGGATAATGGTTAAACAATTACAAATAAGGTAGAGGAACAATTTATTTTGGAGATAATTCAGTTTATTCAGGTAACTATTATATAAAATTGTAAGGTGAATTTTAAGAAAATAAAAAAAATGGTCCAGGATACTTATACAACTCTTTTGCAAGAGAATTAAAATTTTAATTATTTGAGAATGATAAATTAGTTGAGCAATACTCAGTTGAGAAAGTTCCAAGTGAATTTGAAAACGTGTTTTCTGCTTATTTTGTGAATGATCATCATAATAAACATCTTCAATCATTACCCAATAAATCTGATGAAAATAACTTAATTTAGCAAGAAAATCATGGATTTGAAACACTTTAAGCTTTAAATGAGACTGTGATTGTGAAAGGAAATAAGAAAAGTATAAAATTTATATATTTTAATTAAATAGTGTAAGATTGGAATATAGATGAGGTTTGTACATGGTTAGATTAATTAGGTTTATCTCAATATCAAGAAACATTCAAATAAAATCATATGATTGGTTAAACCTTGCATGATTTAACAGATAAAGAATTAAAAGAGGAATTAGGCATTTTTATACTTGGACATAGAAAATAAATCTTGTAATAAATTATGATGCATAAAAAATATTACATTAAGACTATGTCAAATTAAGTTTAAAAGGCAGAAAGTGAAAATTCGGCAGATTAATCTTCAAAATATGATCAATTATTTTCTATAATCTAAAAAATAGAACCAATAGGTGATATATAAGAAAAAGAATGTTTATTAAAATAAAGAAAATCAAAGCCTAAACGAACTTAAGAATCAGAAGAAAAATATACTTCTCCTTAATCATAAAAAAACTAATCTCCTAAATAAGGTAATTAAGGATAAAGTCTAAAAGCAGAAGATTAAAATTCAGTAACTGATTTTAATATTGATAATATAAATGGTTCAGAATCTTCAGATGAAAGTTCTTTAAGTTCTATTGAAAATTATTAATAAATTCATTTATCTAAAGAGGAGGCTTTTTTTAAATCTGTAAAATAAGGCTCTAATAATGTTTAAGAAAAGAATTTATAATAGAAACATTAAGAAAAATTAATGAGTTTACTGAAAGACTTAGAAATAAACGAAAAATTATTAATTAATTTTTAAGAAATAAAGTAGTGTTAAAAAATTGGAGAAGGAAATTATGGAATAGTATTTAAAGGGAATTGGCTTGGTTAAGATGTAGCCATAAAATCATATTGTTAAAAGGAAGATTAATCCAAAAATAGATAGACTATGTCAGATTTTTTAAAGGAGGTTCAAGTAATTTCAAATTTAAGACATCCAAATATTGTACTTTATATGGGAGTTTGTATAAAAAGACATAACTTTCATTTAATAACAGAGTATTTAAAAATATAATAATATATAGATTTATGGAAAATGGTAGTTTACATGATCATATTCATAAAAAGAAAACGAAAAATCTAAATTTTGTTCATATAATAGAAGATATAGCATTAGGTATGAATAATCTACATGGAAGAGGTATTATGCATTGTGATTTAAAATCATCTAATGTGTTGATTGATTCAAGTTGGAATGTTAAACTTTGTGATTTTGGATTATCAAGAATCAAAACTAAAAAAACAAAAAGTATGATTGGAACTTCTTATTAAATGGCTCCAGAAATTATGAGAGGAGAACCATATACTGAAAAATCAGACATTTTTTCTTTTGGAATGATTTTATGGGAAATCATGACTGGTAAAATTCCCTATGAAAATTTATCAATAACATAAATAATTGAAACTGTTGGTTGGGGACACAATCTTGTTTAAATTCCTAAACAAAGCAATCCTCCCATTTTGGCTATTCTTGCTGAAGATTGTCTTTAAAGGGAACCATCTAAAAGACCTAATTTTGCAAGAATTGTTGAAAGAATTTAAGAAAGCAAAAATAAAAAATGCCAGAATAAAACAAAAGCATAATAATTATTAATTGACTTTTTATAAAATTGAATGTTTACATTTATTATAATCATTTTATTTGATCGATATTAAATGCCTTAATATTTTACTAATCCTTAAATAATATATATTCATGAACAAATTCATCCTTTTATATAAAACTTATATCTTAACTTTTCCATAAATTATAACATTATATTAAACAGGGTTCTTTGTCAATATTAATCTTAAAAACATTTACAAATAATTAATTTTCATTTTCTTCATGTAAATAAATTGTACTAATCCATACATAATAATCATTATTAAGCTTTTAAAGATTAATTGACTATTTTTTTTTTGTTTAAACATCTATTTATCCCTAAATTAATTCTTAACATTTAAAGGTACTAAAATAATCTATATCATGTTCCTTATTACAAAACTTATAAAATTTATCCATTTTATCTTTCATTATTAATACATATTGATCTTTAATTTCAATTATAAATTTCAATTTAAATTCTTAAGGCATCTAAATATTAATTGAGAATAAATCTCCAGATCCATCAAATAAATAAAACTCTTCATCTGCTATAATCAATATATGTTGAGTATTGAATATCTTCAAGGATTGTATCGTTTTTATTTTTTTAAATTTCTTTCCAGTATGATATCCATCTGGGTAATTTAAACATTCTAAATACATTTAGTTTTCTAATTTATAAAGTTCAATTAGTGTCACTCTATCTTTGAAGGAAAAAACATTATAATTAGACTCACATTCTATTTAATATCTAATCATTATTATTATACTATTTATAAGGTAAACTTGGAATTAAATGAACGTTTGTATGTTCTTTCGGATTGAATTATACCAAACTTCTATTTCCCTAACGAGAAATTAAAGCTATAATATAATTATCATTAGCAATAATATTAGACAGTACAGTCAATCCTTGTCCGATTTAATATGGTTTCTCAGAAATGCATTATCCATTTTTAATTTCAAAATAAAGAAGCTTTTAATGACTCATTGATAGCGATACAGATCCTTTATTTTAATGTAATTTTTACTTAATTTTTATTCAACTTATTGTTCACCAAAAACTACATATCCATCTTTCATTTAAATTATCTGCTTTATAGAATTAATAGAAGTTAAATCCAATTGAAATCCAACATATTAATCCATTATTTAAAATATATAGCTAATAAATAATACAAATTATTTCTATGTAATTTTGTATTATATAAAAAAAGAAACAAAAAGAATAATTGAATTGAAAGAAAAAATTTATTCATTTAAAAAATTATCTTTGTTTTAAAAATTGAATTGTTAAGTTGAATCTTGACTATTTTTCATTCAACATAAAATATTTTTATTACAAAAATCGTTTTATTAATGATATCTATCTATAATAACTAAACTTTTGATTTGATAAATTATTATTTTAGATAAGATTTTAAGTAAATTTGGTTTAATAGAATTTCAAGTAAAATACTTTTATACTCGTATTTTATTTAGATTTCAAAAAAAATATATATATAATTAGTATTTTAAAACATTTATTCGAAAACCAACTCGATAGAAAAAATTGAAAATTTTGTAAATAATTAATAATAAAGTGAATCAGCGATTTTTAGAATAAAATTAATATTTATATGAGTAAAATTAGGAAAAGAAAACTAATAAAATAAATAGATTAGGATAGATATTTTAGAAATATACTAGAGATTAATATAAATTGATTAATTAAAAGAGGAATGTGTAATAGGAGGGAAGTGAAATTTATGTTTAAATTAAAATTTCTAGAAAAAGAAAGGGTAATATTTACAATAATGAAAAAAGGATCATTTAAGAAGGAAAGATTTTCTGATAAAATTATGTAATATTTTATATCTATTTTTTAGTTAGAAAATCTTAGAGAAATAAAATTATGATTAATATTCAATATTTTTTTTTTTCATTATTATAAAAATGAATAATGATAATACAAACAACAATGAAAATTTAAACAATTTCAATTTTCAATTGAATAGATTTGGAATATCGTTTTATGCATTAGGAATAGAGTAATATTTTTATTTAGATCCGTCATTCTTTAGAGGAGATTCCTTTGGTGAGGAGGATGATAACTTAAGAGGGTTAAGATAATCTTTAAGAAGGGATAGACCTTCACCTAGGTAAATAATTGAATGAAGTGTAGGGAAAAATAAAATCTTTAAAAATATCTTTAAAAGCGTACAGAGCCTATATAAAATGATCATTTAGACTAGCGTTAACCATACATAAAAGTTACTTCTTTAAGAAATATGAATGTCAATAATCAATATTTTATTAACGAATATGGGTAATTTTAATAAGGATTTTTATAGACTGATTGGCTCGCTAAAAAATACAAATTCAAAAGATATTTTAATAGGAAGATCTCATCGAAACTAAAATTAAGATTTGATACCTAATGATATAAGTAGAATTGAAATAAGATTTTGATTAGTATTACCAGAAGATCGTGTAATTTCAAGGATTCATTGTAAAATAGTTTGCAAAGATTACTTTAGGAAAGATTAAATTTTAGAATAAAAATATCAATAGGTTCTAAAGTACATAAATTTGCCTTCATAAATAAAGCATAAAATAAGTTAATTTTTGGAGTATATTTTTAAATTATTAAAAGAGAACCAAAAAATGTATATATATAAGATCTTGCAAGTAATTGTGGAACTTATATTAGAGTATTTAGATAGGAGCCATATTAGTTAACTTATGACAATAAATTTAGCATAGGGAGTGATACTTATTTTAGTATAGTGTTGAATGAGACTAATAAATAGAATGCAAAAGAAATAGATTAAGACTTTTATAGAACTTTAAAAATGTTATCATGTTTGAAAACATAATAAAGACATGAAATTCATTTTGGAGATAAACAAAAATAATAGGATTTTTAGTAATAAGAAGAGGAAGTGACAATATTAACAATAAAAGAATTGTATTCTAAATTAAAAGAATATAATTTACCAATTTTGGGAATAAAATTTTCAGGTTAAGGAGTAGAATAAAACAAATAACAAAATATATTAATAGGGAAATAATAAAATTAAGATACTGAAGAATTTTATATAGGAAGAGGAACAGAGAATGCAATAAAGATAAATTCAAATACAATATCTAGAAAATAATGTAGAATAAAATATTCAGGACAGTAATTAGATTTATATATAAATGTTAGATATTAATAATGGGTGATATCTGATGGATTTTAAGATAGAGATTCAGCAAATGGAACTTGGGTGAGTTTATCAACAGTTGAATAGTCAGATAAAAAAAAGGAATCAAATTTAATATAATTAAAAAATAACTCTGAAATAAAGATAGGTGATTTTATATTAAAAGTGGAATTAGTTAAAGGATAGAAAAATAGATGTGGAGAATAAATAAAAGAAATATTGTCTGTTTGATTGATAAAATTTATTAATTAATAAAATAGTGACGCTATTTTTATTATTCATAAAAATATATCTTTTTTTAATCTGAAAATAAATTTATTTATCATAATAATGAGCAACGTTCCCTAATCACATAATCCATAATAAGTTCCATAATAAGGTGCTCCATACTAACCTTAATAATTCTAACCTGGATTTGCTCCATAATATGCTCCAGCTCCGATTAGTTATGGTCCACCTCTCACATCATCACCATTGAGATATTCTCAACCTCTTTATTAACCATAAGTTGTAGCATAACCAGTATATGCACCACAACCTGTTGTTTAATAACCTGTTTATACTCAACCAGTTGTTTAACAACCAGTATATACACAACCTGTTGTTACATAATCTGTTGTTGCTCAACCTGTTGTAGCATAACCAGTTGTAGCAGCTTAACCAACAATCAAAGGAGAAAGCAGAATTGAGTATGTACCATATGAAAAAACTGTTTTGGAATACGAAGAAGTCAGATAAAGAATTTAAGTTCCAAGAGAAAAATATGTAACTGATTATTATGCAGTTGAATACTAAACAGAATATGTTCCATAAGTATTCTAAGAAAAATATACAGGTATTAAATATATATCATTATATTTAGAATACGTACCAGTTGATAGATATTAAGAAAGAGTTGAATATTATCCAGTTGAAAGATAAGTTGTTCATTAATAAGTCTAACAAGTTTAATAAGTTGTAGCTTAACCAGTTGTTTAATAACCTGTCTAAGTTGTTTAATAACCTGTTTAAGTTGTTTAATAGCCTGTCTAAGTTGTCTAATAACCTGTCTAAGTTGTTTAATAACCAGTATAAGTTGTTTAACAACCTGTTGTTTAATAACCAATGGTTTAATCAATCCCAATCTAAACTGTTCGTCCACCTGCTTATGCCCCAGGATCATTACCATTAGCTTAAACTGTTTCACCAAGATTACCACCTTAAGCTTAGGTTTAATTATTATATATTATTATTAGACTAAACCATAGGCTTAATAATCATTACCTAAATAAACATAACCATAATAATAGAAACCAAAGAGCTTTTTAGACAGATTATTCGATAGAGATTGATATAGAATATTTTATTAAAAAACATATATCAAATCAAATTTTGATTTATTCATCTTAATCTCTATATACATACATCTATTATTCTAAGTATCCACATTTTATTTTTATTTGTTTTATGAATTCTCAATTTTCTCCTTAAAATAATTTACAACAAACCTCCTAATAACTATAATCAACAAATCAATAACCTCCTACTCATTAAAATAACATCTAGTATTATCCTATTATCTATATACAAGCTGATAGGTAATATACATAATTAATAATAGTTTTCCTATGTCAAACGTTCCATAGTTTAATAGAATTGAACATAACAATTTTTAGCTTATTTGCCATCCAGTTATGCCTGATGATCCATTTTATTCTTATCTTTCTCATGTTTCTAATATTATACAAAAATCACAAACATAGAAAACTGAAATCCTTATAAAAAGTGAGGATGACTAAGATGCGCCAAAACCAATTACTTAAAATTAAATTAGTTAATCTCGTAGAGGTTCAGGTGTCTAATAATAAAAACTTCCTTAGATTTAAAAATAGATTAAAATTAAAGCTATGATTGATCATTCAAAAGAATCAAACTTTTAGCCCTGTAATTGTTCTTAAAGTAATTGTCTTAAAAGATACTGTGCTTGCTTTCATAGTAATAAAATGTGTTCGGATTAATGTTAATGTAAAGATTGCAAGAATATAGAATTATTTTCATAAGAAAGAGAATTTGCTATCAATCATGTTTTTAAAAAATGTCATAGAGATAAAAATGTACCAGTAAATGAATTATTATCTTTGTAAATCAGTTATGGATGCAAATGTAAAGCAACTGGATGTTAAAAAAAATATTGTGAATGCTTCAAAAGAGGTTAAACTTGTGGAAATTTGTGTTCTTGTGAAGATTGCCTAAATTACCCTTTTAATCTGATTAATTAAGATAAATTGAGAAAGAAAATCAATATATAAAAATGATTAATTTTTATTTAAATTTCCATATATATTTACTAAATATAAACTCATTATTTATAGTATTATTTATTAATTCTAAGGCAAAATTATTTAAAAAAATAATGAAACATTATTTTTTTAATAATTTTAGTAGAAATACTTAATATTCACAATATAGGAAGATAAATTAAAATTTGATTCAAAAATAACTAGGAAAAGAGGAAAAATTCAATATTCATCTAAACATTTAATAAAACACTATAATTAAAGTGGAGAAATAAAATGAAAAATATTTATTCACAAAATTCATTTATCAATTATTATATCTTAACCATATATTTAGAAATGAAAATTTGATTATAATTTTTAAAAGAAAAGAAGTCTTAAATTATTTATTTGCTCTTTCAATATTAATCGCATAAAAAGGAAGCCAACTATAACATAGAATAATTTTAGCAATTAAAATAATGTTTTTACTAAAAATCTTTAAAAAATAAATAAATTTAAATAAAATCAAAATATAGATCAGAGTTTTTACAATTTTCAAGATTAAAACCATAATCTTTTTAAAGTAAATACTCTTTATAAAGCCAAAATCAAATAATCTAATATATTAATTATTTAAGAAAATATTAATAATCAGAAAACTAATTATTAGAAAAAGAAAATCAATTAGTCATTTTTTAAGAATATTTTTCTAAATGATAAGATAATTTATAAAAAGATTAATTATTGATGCAAAAATATTATATATTTTAAATTTATTTAGAAATAGAGCCAAACATTTCTTAATTATATGAATAACCAGTTCAAACCTTAATGAAATAAATTCAAATAGTTTAGCAATTATTTTGGTTTAATTTAATATTTTATTCATAAATTATCTTTACTAATCAAAAACTAAAAATGAGACGACTTAAAAAAATATCGATTTTATTGTTATTATTACAAAGTTACTTGATAAGAATAAAAAAATCTAATTTATCGTATTCACTCATTTTTGTTGTTTTCTTCGACATTTTATCTAAGTATACTATTTTCTTTTTCTAATTTTTCTATTTTTTCCTAGAGCTATTTATTTAATTCTAAAATATTTCCTAATTCCGAAAACTATTTTAATTAATCTTGTTATTTTTTCATAATCTCTTTTAAATTTTGATTTTCTATTTTCAACCTTTTGATCTCTTCTTATTATTCAAATCCTGTTTTAAACAAAATTCTTGTAGGACTCTCAGATGGCTTTACTTTAGTTATACTATTGGTGCGATAATAGTTATTAGCAGTTTGAAATAATTTTGGCTTTTCTAAAACCTAGGATGGAAGTAAAAGTTAAAATTCCTTTTTTTTAAGTTTAATATCAGTCTAAGATGTATTGGATATATTTTTTCCTGTTGATAATTGTGACACATGTCTTTTCTATGTGGGAGTGAATATATTAGTGGTTTGTTTATAATTTTAAGGGGATAATAAAGGACTTTATGATCTCATTATAATTATTAATGATTAATTCTAAATAAAATTTATTTTATTTTAATTCATCAATATTATTATCAAAATTTTTTTTAATAGTATAGAATATGATAAACAAAAATGAAAATCTCTTTTATCATTTTACAAGCTCTATTAATTCACTTCTTTTCGCTTCTAAAATTCAATCTATCAAATTACGTATCTTTTGTAAGTTATTTTAGTATGCTCAATATTATTCTTATTAAAGATATGACGTTTTAGTCAAAAATAAAAATCTTTATCTAATTATTTTTTATTACAATGACTATTGTTAAGTAAAATTTTACATGAATCTTAAAAAAAAAAGAAAACTTTATTATAATTGAACTTTAGTAAATAAGATTACTATTCTTAATTTTTGATATAATGTCTAAATCTATTTACTATGTATCTAAATTTGTTATTCTCAAATTTTTAATTTCTTTTAAAATTTGATCAAAAATTAATCCTTAAACTTTGGTAAATATTCATCATTCTACTGATCATTATGTTTTTATCCAAATTTAAAATACCTTATATAATTAAAGGCCATTTAATATAGAATAATCATTTACAATATTTTTTTGTTTTTCTTTAATTATTTAGATCTGTTTGAGAGATCTCATCATAAAATAGTTAAGCTTGATTTTCAAATTTTTATGTAAAAGAATTAAAAACTTTGGTTAAATTAAGAAACTTTGTTCAGACTTTTTGATTTTTTTGTTAATTATAAAGCTATCTTAATTTTTAACATTTAAATATAATAATACAATAAATTTTGCCTTTTAAAAATATATTTGCATAATGAAAAATAAAATGGCAAAATTAATATGCTAAATAAAAAAAAAACAAAAAAACTATAATAAAGCTGATGTGGTTAATAAGATTTAATGGGTTTAAGAATAAGAATAAAAATTTTAATCTATTTATTAAAAAGTATGAGATAATGTTTTGAAAAAAAATCTAGAATAATTAATGATAAGATATTTATTTTTTTTTTCTATAAACAAATAGGTTATTTAAGTTAGCAAATTATGTTAAATATCATAGATTGATCTAAAAATATATTTGAATGATAATATGAATTTAAAAATAGCAATATTTAAATTGGGTGCCATAATTCGACAGAAATTCTAATTGGAGGGTGTCTTTAAATGAAAAATTTAGCTTTTTATTTACAAATAATTAATGGATTAGAAAAAAATTGATACACTCGTTTAAGAGGCTTTGACCAACCCAGACCCTGATATATAGTATATGAGAGCAGAGGAACTTACAAATGAATTAACAATATTTTACGGGAAACCAGAATAAGGAATGGAAGATGAAAGGAATTAAAAGTTAATTAATAATTGCTATGGAGTATTTTATTAGCATTTGCGATCTTAATATAGAGAAGTTTAAGGTACATTAATTAATAATACAAATAAGGAAATGCCATTAGATAATTTTAGAGATTAGCTCCTTTAATGAGATCTTAAGAAGTGAAATATATTGGCTTAGAATTATTGAAATCTTCAATCGATGGAGTAAATGAGATCAGAGAAAATTATCATATATGTCTTTAAGAAATAGTAGAAAAAATTCCAAGTCAAGTCTAAAGTTTAGATGAAGTATAAGAAGGGATTCTAAAAAGTAAATATAATTTCAATATATAATAGAATTAGGAGAATTGAAAGAAGCAGTAAAGAAGTTGTAGGTTTCAAAACAAATAGTACATTAAGAAATTTAGTAAAAAGTTGAAATATAGGCTGAACTTTTAAAGATCTTGAGTTCTATTATGTCAAGATGGCCAAAATTATATTAGAAGGATTTCAGTGATTTATTGTTAGATAATATAACAAACTCAAATGAACTATCAATAAGAAAAAATTCATGCGTATGTTTGGGTTATTTAGGAGTATGTCTTAATCAATAAAGCTTAAATAATTTAATCTAATCAAGTACAAGATTGTAATTTATATTATATAGAAATACTACCTTTTATTAAAGATCTAAAATTTGATTAGTAGAATTTCACAAAAATACTTTGTTTAAATCAAAGTTTGAATTATTTAGCTAAAAGTTCAGGAAAATTCTTTGATAAACTTTTAGTAGAGTAGATTTTTTAAAGATACTTTTAGACTTAAAATGAATAAAATAAAGTAGATTTAGATAATATTAATTAATATGCTGAAATTTTAGAAATTTAACTACTTACAATAAATTATATTTTAACTAATCATCATACTCGTGCATTTGATCTTTAATTAATTGATTCAATAACTCCTTTAATTGATTTTGATCCATTAGGAGTAGCAGCAATAGAAGAAGAAAATCCATATGATGATGATTATTATCCTGATGAAGGTAATTTCATTTCAATAATATTAGTATCTGATTCAACATGGAGAGTTAGAAGATGTACATTATACACATTCTAAGAATTACTTAAAATTTAACCTTAACTTTATAAACTCATACTATCAGCCTTATTTGGTCCAAATTAAATTATTATGAGAAGAATTAATGAAAAGAATGCTGAAATCAAATTATCAATTATTCAATTTTTGATAAGTTTGGTTTAGGCTTCTGCTATTACTAAAGAAGATATAAGCACTATGGAAGTTGAACAATTATCATTAATCAAATAAAGATCCATACCAGCATCTATTTCATTAATTGAATTAGTCGAATAACTATTGGACAAAATTTAATCGATCTTTTAAGATAATCAAGAACAATAATCTTTAAAATCAGAATCAACAAAATTATTATTAGCTATTGGACAATATTTTTATACTCAAATTTAAACTTCAAATTCATGTTTTATATAAATAATTAATATTGTTAAATAATCAATAATTGGTTCACCTATTAATTATTCTAATGAATAAAAAGTAACAATTTTTTATCATTAATTTAGCTTGCTTCTATTCTAACTATGAAAACAATATTAAATATCACAGAACCAGCTGAATTTTAAATTCCAATTTTATAATAAATGGTTCTAATACTTCTTGAAGCAGTCAATTAAAAATATATAAGAATATAAGTTGAAGGTTATAATACATTAGAAACAATTATTTGGGTATTTAAAAAGAATTTTGATGAAAAAATATTCTAATCATCCTTAAACTAAATTAAATAAAATTTAATAATAAAAATATAGATTGATAATTTAGATTAAGAAGTAAAATCAAGCTTATTTTAACTTGCATCTGCATTATTCAAGAATTTTGGATCAATATTTACTAATACAGAAATAGAATAATTAGCTCAAATTTCATTGACTAGATTATAGATTGAAGCTCTAACTACCAATATTATAAATCTTGTGCAATATTTCAAGAATCTTAATGATCCTAAACCTTTAATTTAAAACATAGCAAATTAACTATAGAGAAATGATAAGGCTTAAACATTTATAACTTTAATTCATTTAATTAAAAATAATAAAATCGATTAAAAATTAGCAGCTGATATATTAAGTAAATTCAAATCAATTACAACAGAAAATTATGATTTGTAACTTTAAACTTTACAAGTATTAATTAAATTTACTGGTATCAAATTACCAGAATAGTTAATAAGAGAATCTGTTAGAATTGGATTATAACAATCCAAAATAAAACCTGAAATTGAAGATTTCTTTAATTTAATTAATTAACCTTAAATAATAGAATCAGAAATTTTAAAATAACTAGGAAAAGAAGAATTATATTCTGCTGGATAAATTTATTGCTCAATATTAAAAAATATACCTGGATCAATTAGTAACCTTTATTTTTCAATTGTTACAAACAGACAGTTAAAGTTATCAACTCTAAGATTCTTGCATAAATATTAAAATCATTAAAAGGCATTAGAAATTTTATGCTAATTAATTAAGGATAATTAAGATTCTGATTTGGCTGCTATTGTGATTGGATCAGCAGTTTCTGATTTTTAATAAATATAAAAATTGATTGATTAAAATCCAAATTAATATCAATTTTATTAAGCACTAAAAGAATTCACAGAAATTAAATAAATTGCTAATCCAATTAATGTTGCTAAATATATTTTAGAATAAGTGAATGGAAAAGATAAAACAATAGCTACAATTTGTGGAGATATATTGGGAGGTTTCTTAAAGTAAAGTTATTAATCTTTAGAATAACTTATATTTGAAAGTCTTAAGAATCCTTCTTAATCTATTAGATATACTTGTATTTAAAGTCTGAAATATACTCATTAATGGTCTTAAAAAGCTTAAATATTGTTAGAAATGCTTTAAAATGAAAAAGATCTTCAAATACTTACAGGAATTATCAAGGCTCTTACACAAAATATATAGCATATTTATTTAAATAATTTTATTCAATATTTAAAATATTGTTTAAGAAGATATGAAGAAAAAGAATTGAATTTTGGAAATTTTGTAGAAAAAAGAGATGATGCTAAAGATTTAAGATCCTTATCATTTGATTTGTTGGAATTATTTTTAGATAAATAAAATATTGAGTTGAATATTATTTTAGATGAGGTCTTTGAAAAATTTAGTAAGAATAAAATAATAAAATAATAGTTGAGGATAAATATGATGAAACAAGAATTCCAAGATTAAGAATAGTTATGAAGATTGTTAAGAAAGACCCTTAAGCAGTAGTTTCTCATGTTGCAATATTAGCAAAGATATTTGAGCCTATTTTAAAGACTTTGCAACAAAATTTATAAAAATCAGATTAAGTAAATATTATAATAATAAAAATTATTAGAATTTGGATAAGGAAATAGAAAAAATTAGATTGATAGTAAACATTATGCAAGGTATGAAACAAAGTTCAACTGATGCAGATAAGTTTTTAAAAGACAATGTAACATAAAAAATTCACGATTTCATACGTTAATGAGAATGAAAATTTTATAATAATAAAAGAACCAGTTAAATAAGTTAAATTTTTAGATAGTAATAAATTCAATATTTTCTGTTAAAATCATCATTCATCCCAAGATATTCTTTTACCTTTATGCCAAAGTCCATATTTTCCTTTTTTATTCATAAAGAAACATCCTCTGCCATGTTATTTACCATTTTCCCATTCACCTTCATACCTTCTTCCATCTCCCCAATCATAAATCCCATATCCCTTATTTATGTAATTGAATAAGATATACATGCTTTTTATCATTAAAATATTATCCTTCATATTTTCTTCCATCTGGCCAAGTATATGTACCTCTTCCATGCATATTACCAAAATAGAAATCTCCTTCATACTTTCTACCATCAGTCCATATTAAGATTCCTCTTCCAGATATTTTATTTTGTACCCAATCTCCTTCATATTATTACCCATTACACCAAAGATATTTACCTTTTCCATGTTTATATGAATTTTAGAAATATCCTTCATATAAAGATCCATCAGGCCATAATTCAATACCATATCCATGTTATTTATCATTAAACCATTATCCTTCATATTTAGGACCGTCAACATGTTAATATACTCCATATCCATTAGACATATCATTTTCCCATTCTCCCTCATATACATCACCATTAATATGAGTAAATTTACCTCTTCCATGAGCTTTATTATGTTTCCATTCTCCTTCATATTTAGCACCATCTGGCCAAATTTAGATTCCATATCCATCTCTTGAATTTCCTCTCCATTCACCTGTATATGTTGCACCTCCAGGAAATCTAAATATTATGAATGGAATACGTATAAGTTGGTTTTTCAACTCTTACTTTATCATCTTAATTTATTGTTATACCACTCTCAACTGTTTCTGTTTCAAATGCATATAATATTTTTTAATCATCTACTTTACGTCTAGCTATGTAACCTCTCCAATATTTCTGTATTACTATTGCCATTTTATTTTTTATCAACCATGTTTTCTCTGTTTTAGAACCACTAGTCAGAATCGATATACATTCCTAATTCAATTATGTTTTACTTATATATCATTTCCTCTCTTATCGCAATTACATTGAGAACACTAGGAACCCATTTTAAAATATAATTATATTTCACATTACTTTTCTTTTTGAACTATTTATTTTAATAAAATATAACGATTATGTTAGCTGACAAAACTAGTGTCTATGTTAATTAAAGTTCTCTTTAATCTAAATAAAACAGTAAAAGAGTAGTAATAAACTATTATCATTCTAGCAACTTGATATTTAATATGTAGCATAAACATTTGAAAAGACTTAATCTATTAATAATCTTCAAGATATGTTCCCTGATAATAAATCAATTGAATTATCAAATTCTATTATAAATGAAGAAACAGAAATTGAAAAATTATCACAGGCCTATGCTGATAAATATTATTATGAGATGAAATTTGAGTAATATCAAAATTTACTTACTTAATAATAAGGCACTATTACTAAATTGCTTAATGAAAAAAAAGATTTATTAGCCAGACTTGAGTCTGCTAAAAGTAATGAAAAAGAAATTAGTCTTCTATAATAATTAGAAGTTAAATTTATTGAAAGTCAAAAAGAAAAATAATAGTTATAAAATGAATCTCAACAATATAAATATCAAATTGAATAACTTCTTGTTGCTAATAATGAATTACAATAATCTTTCCAATCTTTACATAATTAATTTGTTGAGTATAAAGATAAATAAGATAATTATTCAATTAAATAATAAGAGTTAATTGCTAAATTAACTGATGATATTGGAAATTAAAAATATTTACAAGAAATTCATTCTCAAATGTAAACTATCAAATTATAAAATAATATACTATCTGAATAATTATCTTAACAAGAACTTAATTTCTAAATTAAACTTTAAGAAATATAAGAAAAATATGTAATCTAAACTAATGAATTGACTTAAGATTGTGAATCTCAAATCGAATAAAAAGAAGAAGAGTTACATATAATCAAAATGGAACTTGAAAAATTTAAATCAGATAATCATAAAATTCAAAATGAAAACTTTTAACTTTAAACACAGATTTAATAATTGAATTAGAAGTATTCTATTAATTTATTTTAGTTACCAAGATGATATATAGGCTTAAGCATAACTACTTACAGAGTAAGTGGCTGAGTATAAGATAGTTATCTAAAATCTGGAAAATTAATTATATCAAATGAATCAAGAAATAAAACAAAGAGATCGATCCTCATCAAAAGATAGTATGATAAATTCTAGATTAATTTCTAATTATATTAGTCGGTGTAAATAATGAATTTAAGGTTTATTCTATTAATAATTTTATAATTCTAATAGGAATATTTTAAGATATTTTCGATATTTCAAATCGATAAATTTAATTTAAATTCATTTTTTATTTGTAATTATGCTTGAGTATATTAAAAATATAAAAAAAGTTAATGATAATTAAAAAAATTTTTGATAATACTACATAAATAATATTAATAGAATTACAATCACATAAATTTTATTAATTAATTTATTTTATGAACATCTATTTTAATAATTAACCTTATCAGATACCAGATAATTTAACATTCCAATAATTATTGTAATTTGTTACCTAAAATCCAAATATAAAAGTAAGTGATAAGATTTGGAAATTAAATGGTGAGAATTTGGCAATAAAAGAAAATAGTCTCATCACAGCTTTGGCAAAAAATTAAGACTAAATCACAACAATTGTAAACATAAAATTTATTCTTAGGACAAGCAATAACCATAATTAATACAATAACAATTATTATAACAATAACAATAACCTTATCGCTAGCAAGCTATGACTACCCCAACAATAGGTTAAGCCGCTTAAATTTAGCCTAACTTAATTTTGAATCAACCATCATAAACTTTAAATTAAACTAATTTTCAATAATAAGGTTAGTAATTTCTTGGAGTAACTTAATAATAATATTAACAAAACTAATAATAGTAATTTAACTACCAACCATAATAATCATAAAACATATAATAATCATAAAACATATAATTATAATAAAACATATAATTATAATAAAACATATAATAATAATAAAACATATAATAATAATAAAACCAATAATATGCATACTCATAAGTTCTTCAGAATTCTTCATAATTACCTTAACAATAGGTTAATTAAGAAACAGATATTTTCAAAACAGTCTAACAAGATGTACCAAAATAATAAGATGCTTAAGTGGTCGATGTTTTCCAAACAAAATAAGTTGTAGAAGATATATTTTCAACTAATTTTTAAAATTCCTAATATGATATTCTGAGATAAGAATATTTGAAGAATAAAGCTACTTCTCCTGGATATAAAAAGTAATAATAATTATATTTTAAGTGCTCAATTTTCAAAAAATGGATTTATATTTAAGATAGAAAATTATGGAGATGAAGTAACGGTGAAAAATTAGGATAAATCATTTTCTCTAAAATTGAATAGTTCCTATTCACTGAAAAACATTCGATAGATTAACATAGATGATAAGTAAAAATAATTTGAAAATAATATTATTGGAGAACTCAATTATACCAGAATATCTTATATTCAAAATTATGATTTACTTGCTATATAATTCAATAATAATAGAATTATAGCAATATAATTGTATATGGAATGATTTTAAGATATTAACATAAATAAAGAATTTATATTATTGCATTGAGCATCTTGAAATAGTATCTAAAACAATAATTTACTAAATAATTCATATTATTAATTTCTAATAAAATGAGTATTTGTAGAAGAAGTGCTGCATTAATTTTGATAAGAGATGATTTTAAGGTCCTAATGTTAAAAAGAAATAATGATATTTCTTTCGGAGGATCATTTGCATTTCCTGGCGGAGTTCTTGAAGAAACAGATTATAAATTAGCTTAGACAGATTCTTAATTAATTTTAAAAAATCACTCAAAATATTATTGCAATCAAACATATACATGGTATGATACATCCTTAATTGCTGCTATTCGAGAAACTACTGAAGAGACTAATATTTCATTAGATTCTAAATAACTATATTCATAAATAAAACCATTCATAAGGATCATTACACCTTAAATGATGAAAAAAAGATATGACACATAGTTTTTTATTTTAAATTTAAACAATTACGATACACTAAACATTAATAAGAATGAAAGTATTAGCTATGAATGGAATACTCCTTTTGCCTTTTTGGAAAAATATATTAACAATTAGATAAGTTTATTTCCACCAATATTCTTATAATTAATTATACTTAAATAATTGGGAAGTTTTTAAAATATTATTACCTATATTAATTAAGGAGATCTATTGAAACATACGTATCCTCATGTTTTCTAATTTAGTAAATATATTTATGAGTTTTTATTAGCTAATAAAGGAATTCTTAATTATCCAGATCCAAACTTTGATTTATAAAAGCTTTTAGAAAATGAATAAACTGATTATCTAAAAAATGAATTAAAAATTAGATATAATTAGATAGAAAGATCAGATTTTCGATTTTAGTTAGAGGGAAACTTGAAAAGATTGGTTGGCCATATAGGAAAATTTTAAAATTCACCTTTAGCATTATTAAATGGTGAAATTATAAATGATAACTAATTTACATAAAATAAACCAAGATTTTGATGTTAAGTAAAAATAAATTAATTAAATAATAATTTGTATTGAATAATCATTAAAATTGGAAAGTCTATTAAGCTTTTGGTTTAGATTATCTTTAAACACTACCAGAATTAATATTAATTCTATTATTATCTCTTAAAACATCATGTTATACTGCAGGACTCTATGCTTTAGTTTATATTTAAGGATTATCTTTTTATACAGCATAAAATTTTTATTTCATAACTAGTAGATCTTTTTCCATAGTTTAATATTTTAAGTTTTTTCCTTCTTAATCTTTATTCCTCTATTAAATTTCTTATTTACAATCCTAGATATTAAAAATAAATATACAATCAATTCCTAAATAAGTAATTATACAGATTAGATGATCTTATCACCATCACTACCCTTAATAGTTGAAAACCTGTTTTTAACTCCACTTAAATTCAAAATTTAATTAAGTTTAGTCATTTCATTATTTAATCTCTAATTTTCAACTATTAATTTTTACTATAAATTAAGATATATATAAATACCATATCTAATTTTGAAACATTCTATTATTAATTATCTGAATCTGTATTTTTTCGATTTTATTAATATTACTACAATAATTTATTTTTTTCTTCAATCTCCTTTTATAACTATTCTGATAAGTATAATTTTTCTTATTTCAAACATGAATTCTCTTATTTAATTGTATTTAAATATCTTATTTTTTAAGATGGATTATTATGTCCTCCAAGTTATGCAATATCTTTTTGCATTTCTTCAATTTACTTATAAAGCATTGATCTTTCATTATTTGATTTAGTTAATTTTTCATGTTATTCTTGTAATTCTTTCTTTAACTTAAGATTGTCATCTTCCAATGTATGCATTTATATCAATGCTTGATCTTTTTGATCTTTCATTTATTCATTTTCATCTTCTCTTTCTTAATTTTATGACTATCTATTTATACAAAGAATTACCAATATCGCATTATGTTCAGCTTCTAATTTTAAATATTAATCTTTAATATCATTTATTTCTTTTTCTTATTACTTACAAAACTCTTTTGCTCTATCATGTACATTTTTTAGTGTCTCTTCGTTTTATAAAAGAGCTTGTTCTAATTGAACAATAATCTGGAATTTAATAAAACCTTTACTTATTATTTTTTATCTATCTTTTATTTTAATTCATTGTTTTCTTTTGTAACTTTATCTGCAATATGGCTATATTATTCTCGTATTTATGATTCTTATTTCATCTAAGATTCTAATCTTGTAAATTGATCTTTTAAAAGATTATACTTCTCCTATTATTCACTAAATTAAATGTTTTATAAATCATTTTATTTTTAAACAGATTGATATTTATGTACATTTTCTTAAATTTAATGTGTATATTCATCCAATTAATTTTTTAATTGTATATTTGCATTTTCAAGTCCTTAAATGATTTTCTAATTATATTAAATTATAAATTTACAGTAAACTTGTTTTAGTCAGATTTTAATTTATCTTTTAATTGATAAATATCCTTTTAAGTTTATTGATTTAAATCCTCTTTAGTCTCAAATGCACTTTATAATCCATTCACTTATTTATTTAACTATTCAATCATCTGTTCCTTTTATTATAATTACTTTTAATGTATATCTAGTTAATCTACTAACTCTTAAACTTCTTTTTTGTGTTAATCTTCATGTTTCTTTAAATGTAAAGAGTATTGTTTTATTTCTAACTCCAATTATTTTGTTAATTTCTTAACAGTTGCTTTATTTTCATCAACCTAAGCTTATTTTTAATCTAATTCTACTCTCATCTAATCAATTTCTTCATGTTATGAATCAATATGTTAATTTAATTATTATATTTCCTTCTTTAAAAGTTAATTATCTTTTGATGTCAATTCTAATTATTACTATAAATTAGTGTTTAGATGATTTAATTATAATTTTAATTACTCTATTTATTATTCCTTTTATTGTAAATCATTTAAACTTATATTTATTTTTGATTCAAGTTTTTGAATTTCTTTTTACTTTTCATTTATTTGAATTTTTAAAATATTATTCTCAATTTCCATTTAGTCTGTTTCTTTTTTCCAAATTTCAGAACTTTTATCTAAAATTTGATTTTATTTATTTAATTCTTATGATAAAAATTCTATTTATTATTCTTTTTCATTAATTATATTAGTTAAACCTTAAATCTAAGATTATAATAAGTTTGATTTATTTTAAGATTCATTTAACTACTATTCTAATTAACTAATAGTTATTTTAAATTTATTAGATTCACATTCTATATCTTTAACTTTTTCATTCAAAGCTGTTTTTTCATTATTCAATTATTCAATTGTTCTCGTCTTAATTTATAATTTTTATGTCATATCTTACAATTTACCTTACTATTATATTTCTAAAGTATTTCTGCTTTACTAATTTTCATTCTCTACAGATATTATTTTTTATTATAATTGTTATATTTCTTTTGATTAATTCTCTATTTTGGACTTATGTTATAGAACATCTCTTTTCAATTCGGAATTTACTTAGTCTTTTTGTTCCATCCTAGCTTACAAAGAAATGTATAGTTCATGAACTTGGTTATAATGATCCGATGTTTCTTGAATTACAGCCTGCTTACTTTCTAATTGCTTTTATAATAAGTCTACACTGGACATCTGCTCTTTTTAAATTTCTTCAAACTCCTATTTCTATGCGTCAATCATTATCTCTAATTAAGAACTTTTTTAACTTTCATTTTGTAATTTTTAATTTACCAACTATTTAATTAATCCAAATTAATTACGTTTATTTATTCTTCTAATTAAAATTTCATTTCTACATATTATTTTTCCTTCTCTTTTATTACACAATTTAATTACAGAATCTTAAAATTATAAATTTATAAATACTTCTTAATTTAATTTGCCCAAATCACAATCTTTTTTTTAATTTAATTAAGATAATAACAATTCAAAATCTTTCTTTTATTGTTTCATTTAATCTTCAAAATTCTTCTCTAAATCAGAATTTTAAATTTAATAATTTTATTAAAATATTGTCATTTCTTCCTAATAATTTTATTCAATCTATTTAAGTTATAATTAAGTATGCTCAAGTTCTTTAGTTTTTTAATTAAAATCTTAAGTCAAAATATTCTTTTCTTCTATCATTTCTTACTTATCTTTTTATAAAAGAGAATTTTCATTCTATAAAACCTAATTATCTTTTTACAATTATTGTAATTATGTAAATAATTCTTATTCTGAGCTTTCTAATTTTGAAACTGATAATTGCAATTAATCTTACAATAGTGTTAACTAATTTTAATATTTGATACATTCTTATTTTAAATTGTTATTTTCCAATTCTAGAACTTTGATAGATTTCTAATTTTATTGAATATTATTTTCTTTATCATTTAATTCATTTTTTAATTAAAGAATATATTTTTCATAAGAAGATATTTATGATTTTAATTCTGAAATAGTAATACCATTTTCAACAATTATTTGGTTTAGTTCTTTAAGTTTTTCTTCATTCTCTGCTAATCCTTAAGCCAATTAACTATTTGTATTTTATTCATTAATAATTTACTATTTGAATTCTTGATTTTATTGATTTAAATATTAATAATTATTAACTTATAATTAATTTTGATTTTTTAATTGATTAATTTATTATTCAAGCTCAAACATCTATTATTTAGAATAATATTAGAATTCAGAAATACTAGTTTAAGATTATTCAAAGTTTACTTGAATTTCTTATTTTTAAGTTAAAATTTATTAATTTTCATTTTTAAGTTATTAAATAATTTATTCTGAATTATTTAATAATTCTTCTAATTACTAATTTTAATTTTTAAGTTCTTAATTAAGATCAATAATTCTGTTTTTCAAATCTAAAATTTATTTATCTCTAACATCAACTATTTGATCATTTTCATTAAAAGTAATTCCATTTTCCTCTAATTTTTGAAATATTTGTTTTTCAATCTCTTTGATTTAATCCTCCATAGATACTAATTTTTATGTTTATTCAGATAACAACTTTTCTTTGTATTCTGATTAGGTTTCTAATTCTTTAAATTTTTCTAAGGTGACATACTATGAGTTAAATTATAGATCTAGTTGCTATTGAAATTATCTTCTTTCATTAAGAGAATTCTAATGAATTAAAATATAATAGATACTTAAACTGTTTCTACAATTTCTTTTAATAAATTAAGATTATTATCAACTTAGACTTAAACTTTTGATACTGTTTAGGTAGCTCCTTACTACTCTTTTAAAGTTAAATTTTCATAAAATGTTTTCATAACTAAACCTTAACATTGTAAAGCATATGCTAATTACTATTGAATTTATTATTATATATCATCAGGTGATTAATTTAATTTTAATTTTTAAATTTATTCATTTTGTAATTTAATGACAAATTTTAACTATTATTCTAATTGTTATCCTAATTAGAAACCTTCTTTTAATTACTTAATTCCGTTTAAATACTTTTCGATTTCTAAAAATAAAGCTGTTTCACTTTCTGTTGATTATTCTAAATAACACTTCAATATTTCTTCAAGTTTAATATATTTTTAATCATTAATAATTAAACTTTCTAATTCTAAGGATTATAAAACTAATGAATAAACTGAAATAAATACATTATTCATTAATAAATGATTATTATTATTTTTATTCAAATTTTTTAGGTGATTCCCATTTTTATTATTGAGTGATAACACTTTTAGCAAGTTCTTATTTAAGTCTTTTAATTTCATTTTTAAGACTTTCTAAATTTCCACTTTCATCTTCATTAATTCTAGCTTTGTTTTTAACTTATTTGACTCTTTTAGAAAACATAAGAGTAGATAAAGTTTCTTGATAGAATTATTAGGATTATTAGATATTAGCAATAAGATGTGTTCTTGAATTACCACCTAAAGAATCTTTAAGTAGAAATGTTAATTTAGAATCTCTATAATGAACAAATGATTAATTATCTTCGACAAGAGAATTGATAACATTTCCTAAAATATGTAAACTTTTATTTATATTGCAACCTTCTCTCAATCTTTCTCCTTAAACTTATGATTACTTTTATCTTTCACTACCAGCAAGATCTACAAAATGAAATCTTGAAAATCTATGATTAATAACTTAAGTTTAAGATGATTGTCTTCTTGATTCAAGTTAAATAGTAAAAACACTATGTGATCTTGATGATTCAATATTCATTTAAGTAGATGAAATATGTCTATTTAGACTTCCTCTTTATAAAACTTCTAAAGATTCAGCTACATTAGTACAAACTTCTTCACTTAATTATTCTACATAAACTCCTTTTTTTAAATCTTCTCTTAATTATAAATTTCCTAATTAAGGATTTAAAAGATCTATTATATGTTCATTATAGATTTCCAAATAACTGCATTTAACTAAATATTCTACATTTTCTGATTAATCCTCCAAAATGCAATTAAACAAAAAATCAATCACTCTTGGTAATAAACCTGGTTATTTCTAAGTACCCATCATTGTATATGTTTTACCACTTCCTGTTTATCCATAAACAAACACACAACCATTATAACCATCAAGACAATTAATTGCTTATTATTTTCCTACTATATTAAATATATCTTCTTAACTTGAGTCTTACTATGCTACATAATCAAAATAAAAATATTTCTAATCCTACTATTATTATTGATTGCCCTCAATAATAATTGTATTTTTTAAATTGGAATCCAGTTTTATACATGATCTTCCATCTTCTAATAAGGGTCTTGCATTATTAATTAAAAGATTCTTACTTTATTCTTATAGAAACTTGAATATTGTCTCGTTCTGCCTTAAATTTATCTGTCATTTTCAATTTTTAAATTTGAAATTATTATAATAAATAACAATCATGAAATTATTGCTGTTGTAAGGCTTGTATTATCGTGATATACATAATTGTATTCCTCTTAATTCTTATTATAACACAATAATAATAAAGAATTTCTTAGACAATTTGTATTCTTAATATCATTCTCGATATAACTACTTTCTAATAAACTTGATTGTTAATTACTAATAACTTATTAAAATAATAATACTTAAATCCTCCTCTGTATTTTTTACTTAATCTCTCAAAAGTTGTTCTATTATAATACATATTCTTCAGCTATGTACATAATAAACAACTTAATAAAAAAAAAAACATTAATGTTATTAACAATTCCAATGCAATGTATTCTATCTAAACTCCTTTTGAAATACTTAAATATTTTCTAAAATCACTGAGGTAATTATATAACATATCAAGCTAATGCCATTAATAATAATCTTCAGATGTAATCCCTATTAAAGTTTTATTCCATACTATATCTGTAAAAAGAATAATCGAAATAAATAATTGAAAACCTATATTTATAAAGGTGAGGAAAATAAAAATCATGAATTAAAAATGATTTTTAGCTCCGATACAATTATTTATCCATGGACAATGATGATCATATACTATGACACATTTATTACAAAAATCACAATGACGACTTCTTTTAGCCTTTAGAGTTTCACATTCTGTACATATTTAAAATCTTTTTGGATTATTTTATAATATTTAGTAAAATACTTATCCATCTTCTTTGTATTTAGCTTAACATCCAGGATCAGAATTAACAATATATATAAATAAAAGGACCTCCAATATATCACAAATAAATTATATGTAACCAAACAAATTATTTCCAATTGTAAAAAGTACTTAATAGATTAGATTGACTATTAACATTAAAATGAAAGAATACATTTATAATCTGAACTTTTGATTCTAGATATAAATATTAATATAATAATACAATTCTAGGCTTATTTTTCTATCCAAATATATTGCTGCATTTTATATTTCCCTCTTAATATTCTTAAATCATTTAACTAATTGTTGAAAAATCATTCTCAATAGCCAATTAAAAAGCAGTCCTGCCCTATTTATTTTTTAATCTTGTCTTAGCATTATAAAGTAATAATCTTCTTGTAATTTTGTATTCTCCACTAATAGCTGAAACATGCAAAGGTGTGCATCCAAATATATTTTTACAGTTTATTTTACATCCCCAAGACAACAGTAAAGCAGCACATTATTCACTACCTGAATAACTGGCCAAATGCAAAGCTGTACTATTATCATTATCCATAATATCAATGTTAACTTTGGCAATTTTCACTAAATAATATAACATTAGAGGTTAATCTGATTATGATGCAATGTGTAAATTAGTTTATCCTTATCTAGTTTTCTAATCTAATTTGATTCCTAACTTAAGAATTGTATCAAGAATTGCTATATTACCTTTTTAAGTGGCTAGATGCATGCATTAATTACCAGAATCATTTTATTGAGTTACCCACTATTAAGTTTAAGACTCTCTAGAATTGCATAATGAATAGATACCCAAATTATTTAAGTGAATATGTGATTAGATCGGTAAAAAGTTTAGTCTAATCTTTCCAAACAGCTAACATTAGCAAAGTATTTCTTTTTTCATCAAAAGAAGTATGAATATTGATTGGTTGAATTTGGCTAAAAGAGTCATCATCATTAATTCCAAGAAGATATCTGACTCCCTTGTCATCTCCATTTTTAACTTTTGAATATAAATCTTAATATATTCTTTATACATCTGAGGCTTATTCCTAGGTAAATAAAATCAATAATAATACATTAACAAATGTAGCCCCTGATAATCCATATCCATGGAGTTCTCTATTGATATTATTTACAGGATCAATAGATTATAAAAGAGGCTGCATTATAAAATAATAATTAATTAAGTCAAAGCTTTTATATTGTATAATTTAGAAATTAAAGAGTACTTATATAATTTGAAATATTTAAGTGAAATATTTATGATAGATAATTCATTAATAAAATTAATTAATATAATGATGATCACTTCGTCCGTGTTTTTGATTGTTTATGATATACACTTGTCACTACTCTGAAAATAATCTATATATATATATAATTAAATGTTAAGAAGATTATATGCATCACTCCCATAAATCAAGAAACTCTATTTTACTTTTTCTGTAAATGAAGGTATGTAATGTATATAATCAGAATACAAGATCTAAATTCTGAATCGACTAAAAGTAATCAAGCATTCTAATTCTGATAAAGACATAGTATCCAATGGTCATATAGAAAATCTATCTATAGATTAAGGTATGCTAATGATGAAATAAACTAGATGGAAGAGTCATAATTGATCTTAAATTAGATTAAGACTACAGAAAAATCAAGTCACTTTGTCAAGAAGCCCTTAAAGAATTCGAATGGATTAAGAATTTGGATATTCGTATGGCTCCAAAAAAAGAAAATGTATTCACATAAACAAATTCATAAAAAAGAGGCAATCTCTAGAATGTAAATAAGATCATAGCAGTTTCAAGTTGTAAAGGAGGAGTAGGTAAAAGCACTATTGCATTAAATCTTACATTTTCCTTACAAAAATTAGGTTTCAAGGTAGGAATATTTGATGCAGATGTTTATGGTCCCTCTCTGCCAACTTTAATTGGAAAGGAGAAATAATAATTATATGCTCCAGAAGATAAACCAAAAGAAATTTTGCCTATTGAATTCAATGGTGTTAAAACCATGAGTTATGGATATGCAGGTGGCAATTAAAAAGCTATTATCAGAGGACCTATGGTTAGTAGCATTGTTATTTAATTAGTA